ATTATTGGTTCTCAGTCAAGAGAACGCTTTTTAGCATTTTTTGTAAAGTTGGCCTAGTCATTACAATTTCCTTTAATTTCTTTTATCAGGAAATGTCTTAATTTCACCATCAAATTTGAGGGACAGCTTTGCTGGGTATATAATTATTAGTTTGCAATTTTTTTCTTTCAGAGTTTTATATATGTCATCCCCTTGTCCTTTGCTGAGAGATTAGAGTTTAATCTTATTGGCTCTCTTTTGTAGGCAACTTTTAATTTTTCCCAAACTGCTCTCAGGATTCTTTCATGGTCTTTGATTTTGTAAAATTTGATTATGATATGTTTTGGTGATTTTCTCTTGGATGATGTTCTTTTGGAATTTATCCTGTTAGGCGTTTATTCAGCTTCTTGTATGCTTATCTTCTTGTCTTTCATGTTGTTAGGGAAGTTTTTCTTACAACAACTCTTTGACAATTTTATCTGTGCTTTTTATTGTCACTTTCTGTTCTGGAATTTCAATGACCTGTAAGTCATTCATCTTTGTGGTGTCCCGCGTAACTCTTAAGCTTTCTTCTGACTTTTCCATTCTTTTTTCTGATTATTCTTCAAACAAACTAGCATTGAAAGATTTATCTTCAAGTTCACTAATTTGGGTTTCCATTGCTTTGAATCTTCTACTTTGCCCTTTCAATGTATTGCTCATTTCTGAAATCTTGGTATTAATCTCCTGGGTTTCTAATTGCAGATTTTGTATTGTTCCAAAGTTTGCATTTATTTTGTCTGTTTGTTCTTATAGTGTTTTCCTGGATTCTTCTAAAGTTTTTTCTGTGTTCTCTTTGCTTTCATTACTCTTTCTGTCAATCTGGTGAAGGCACCAAAATTTCTTTCTTTTTCAGTTAGTTCCATTTTCTTTTTTTCCCTCAGAAATGCTTTCTGTCTCTGCATCTTGGTCATTTGTTTCAGCCGTTCTTTCTTGTTTCTTTGTAGGAACTAAAATTGTCTGTTGTCTCTGGGTTGTTCTATTTGTAAAAACAAACAGTGCAATCATTGGACCCAGAAGGGAGAAATCTCTGGTGGGCTACTGCAATTCAAGAAGCTCACAAGGTGGTTGTGGATGGGATGTGACAGCAGAGTTCCCTGGCCCTGGATGGAGCTCCTATTGGCCTCAGTGTTATCTGTGTTCAGGGCACCCAATTCGAAAGTAGTTCATAGGTGCTCTTGATGGAACTGGTTTCTCATATCTTAGGACCACAGGGTGACTGGTTAATTCCTGGTCTGGTGGCTCTGCAGATTTTATAGGTCTGGAGCCAAGACCATTTAATCTAGGCATCAAACTGGCACCATCAGTCCCCAACCTCATACTGGTATGGCTCCTAAACCACGTGGTTCTGAGCTGCTGGAGAGCAGGGTCTGCACTGGGAGTGGGAACTGGCCACACCTCTAGTCCAGAGTGGGGAAAAAAGAAGAAATCATAACTTTTCTGTCACCCACTCGAATCTGCTCTATCAGGCCTCCCACAGCTGTCAAACTGCTCACCAGATGGTCAAACCATATCTGGCCAGCCATTTACGAGTCAGTCTCCCTCTCTCACTCTCCCTGATTGGTCTCTCCTCCCAGCAAGTAGTCCATCCACCTCTTTAACCTTTCTTCTGAAGTTCATAGTGCTATAATTTTCATCTGTGCCTATTTTATTTGGTTTCTCATATCTTTGTTGTTTTCAAGGGTCCATGTAATGTGTCTGCCTAGTCTGCCATCTTGCTGGAAGACCTCTGCCTGTTTTTAAATTGGATCATTTGTCTTTTTTGTTGTTGTTAAAGTGTTGAAGTTATCTATATATTTTAGAGTTTAGTCCCTTGCCTGATGTGTCTTCTGACAAATTGTACCTGGTAGTGCAGTGGTTAAGTGCTTGGCTGCTAATTGAAAAGTCATCTGTTACTTGGTAATCTGCTCCCAATAAAGAATACATCTTAGGAAACCCTATGGAGCAGTTCCACTCTGTCCTATAAGGTGTACACATGTACACATTTACTGACATATTCTCGAGTACTTGATATGCTTTGATATTGTTGTAAATGTGAATTTTTGTAAAAAATTTACCTACAGTTGTTTGAGGCTGTTTTATAAAGATATGGTATGCATATGTATATGTTGTTGTTGTGTGCCGTCAAGTCAGTTCCGACCCCGTACAGGATTTCTGTGGCTGTAAATCTTTATGGGAGTAGAAAGCCTCATCTTTCTCCTGCAGAGCGGCTGGTAGTTTCAAACTGCTGACCTTAAGGTTAGCAGCCTGATTCATAACCACTATGCTACCAGAGTTCCTTCTCGGCCTTTTGGCTAAGATCAAGTGTAGTATATGTATATACATGAAGGTAAATAAAAATGTATTGCTACTAGTTCATACAAGCATGGGTTTATTCCAGGCAAAATGTGTTTGAATATGTCTCTGACACTGTCTGGATAGGTGCAAATAATTTCTGTCAGCAATACACTTGTCTTAGCCTTATGATATTGTTGTTGTAAAGTTCTGTCGATTCGGTTCCAACTCATAGTGACCCTGTGTGGAGTTTCTAAGGAGTTGCTGGTAGGTTGGAACCACTGACTTTGTGGTTAGCAGTCCAGTGCTTACCCTACAGCACCATACCTCACTGTTGGTGTTGTTAAGTGCTGTCGAGTCAGTTCCGACTCATAGCAACCCTGTATAGGGTTTCCAAGGAGTGGCTGGTGAGCTTGAACCAACAACCTTGCAGTTCAAACCAACCTTGCAGTCCAGCGCATTAACCCACAGCGCAACACCGGGACTCCCCAGGACTCATTAAGGTGCCTTTCAAAAACAAGCAAACTTTTTTTGTGCCATGAGGGGAAAAGAAATTTGATGTTAGGGTTAATATCAAATTTTTAGGAAAACTGAAGTGGACATCTTTCCAAATCATTGAATCTTTACAACAAGTTTATGGGAGTGATGCATCACATAAACTAAGAGTTTTTAGATGTATACAGTATTTTAAGAAAGGTTGGGAAGACCTCAAAGATAAGCCACAAGAAGGAAGACTGCCAACCTTGATGAATGTAGAAACTTTTGCTGAAGTACAGAAGCTGGTGGAAGAAGACTTTCCATTGATACAATAGCTACTGAAGTTGGGATTTCACATGGCTGGACATTTTAAAATTTTAAGTGAATATCTTGGCCTCATCAAAATTTTGGCTTGATGGGTGCCAAAAGTGTTGCACAAACATCAATTAGTTCAAAAAGATGATTTTTCACTCAGTGTTTTAAGTAAGATTGAGGCCAACAAATATGGTTTTATTAAGCAAATCATAACTGGAACTAGTGTTGGATTAACTAATAAAATCCAGAGAGCAAGGTCCAATCAGTCCAATCTAAAGACAGTGACTTCTCATGGATCTGCTTGGCCAGTTAAATTCAAGGCAGAGGTCCCTCAGAAGGTAATGGTGACTGATTTTGGAATTTCAAAGGGTAAATTTAATCAATTTTCTGGAAGGACACAGGATAATCATGGAGGATTTATTAGGAAGAAGTTTTAAGAAAATTGGAAATTGCATTTGTGAGAGAAAGGCCAAGAAAGTTATGCTAAAATATTTTTTCGCATCACCACAATGCACCTGTTCATTCTTCAAGGGTAGCAGGGGCTGTCCTACAAGAATTTCATTGGGAAACCTTATCCCATCCACCCTACAATCCTAATCTTGCCCCTTCAGATTTCTTTTTGTTTCCAACACTCAAATAACATTAGAAAGAAACAGTATTTGAGTCCAGTGAGGATGCCAACACTTCCAGTTTGAAGTGGTGTAAATCAAAGAGAATAGAATTATTTGGGGAATGGTTAAAGGGATGGAAACACTACTCTCAGAAATGGATAGATCTAGATGGGAGGCTCTGTCCAGAAACATGTTTCAGGATCAGTACTGGACTCCAAACCACAAAGTTGGAGGTTCAAATCCACCAGTGCTCCTCGGAAACCCTATACAGGGTCACAATGAGTTGGAATCTCTTAACTCAGCACTTGTCGCAAAACTTTTTGACCAGGACCCAGCAAAAGTGTCCTTTTGAAGTAATAATGGATTTACTAAATTTTGAACCATCCTTCCATATTTGTTTTACAATCTACTTGTTTATGTTGGATTATTTTAATATGCTGCTGGATTTTATTTGATATTTAACTTAGAAGGTAGAATCTCTGGGTGACCTAAACTGTTAAGCACTACACACTCTGCTACTCGCTACCCAAAGGAGCCTGCAAGACAAGAATAGAAGACAGACATTGAAAGACACAGTCTTAAAACAAATCAATTTTACAAGAATTAACAATTTAGGTCTTGCAGATAAGAACAACTAGTTTAAGTGATTCTTAGGAATTCCGTGGATTTACCTTTCTGATAATGCATTCCATTCAGCTTCCTTTAAAAAGAGGATAAATCACAAAAGAGGACGGGGGAGAGTAGTCTGAATTGGGTTATGAAGCCCCCACGGGGAGGTGCCTCACCTCAGCCATTGAACTCACTTAGCTGGCCGTGAGTCTGTTCCAAGCTCCGGCTAAGGAGGCATCCGCCGGGCCCCTCCCAAGGGCGGGGTCCACGGCTTCTCCTGCCCAGTCTGCCCTCGCACGGAGCCCCTTTCTCTGGGAACTCACCTCCCCGAAACTCAGGGAAAGCCCTGTTAGGGCTGCCTCTGGCCCTAGTCTCAGACCTTCCCAAGGGACATGGTGTAGAGTGACTCAAGCACTCAGCTCGTGGCCCCACTGATGAGCTTCCCTCCGCCCTATGGGCTAACACTGTGTTGGTATTAGCTTATAAGAAACCCAAATATAAAGTCATTTAACGCTTAGTGTGACTTCCCATCATACAAAGCGACATGCAAATATCATGGGCCTTCCGGGAGGCGTGCCTTCCCGTCCTGCGTACTGGAGTTCTCTCTGGGGCGCACGCGCGCTATGTGTTTCCCGCCTTGTGACTTAGGGCGGGCGATTCCTGAGATCCGAATGGTGACGTCAACTTTCAGGCTCGATGGCGGCCCGGCGGCGGGGGACTAGTAGCTGCCGTACGCGAGGTTCGGAACTCAGTGATTGCGGCGCAGTGCGGGAAAGAGGGATGGATGGGAATGGGAAAAGAACGGTTCTGCTTGCTTTGGACCCGAACTCCGTTGACTATCAAATTAGTTTTGATGCTTAACTTAAAAAAAAAACGTTTCGGTGTTCAGAGGTTTTTTGGATGACAAATTTGGGTAAAGCCTTTGGACCTCTGACAACCTGTGTGTAAAGCACTAAGTACCTCTAATGTCATCAATTTAATAAACACTGTAAGATACATTATTTTATATGCCGCTGAGATTGAAAAAATATTCTTCCAATTGAACTATGAGTCATTGTGAGTATGCCATCGATTGTAAAATGCAAACAAACTTCAGGGATATTATGGAGGAGATGTCATACTCTGTATCATGTTCTTTACTGGTTAGTCTACAGTGAGGCACTATTGTTATCCTCTAGTTGGGGCACCTGAGGTGCAAAGAAATTAAGTTACTTGTCTAAAGTTTTAGACCCAGAAAAGGCAGACCTGGGCTGTATGTACGCCAGGCAGAAACATCAGGTCATTTTTCTGTTATTCCATATTGATTCTGGTAGTTTGATGATAACCATTTTATTGTCAGGACACAAGCATTCTGAAGAGGTTAAGTGGACCATGGTGAACAATAAATAATGAGCCCTGTTAGCAGTGTAACATTGGGTTGGGTCAAAGAGATGGATCTATGGCTGCAAAGGAGACAATGATTTCCACATTTAAAGTGATTCCATAAGAGCCCCGGGGATCTTTTTTTATTGCATTTCCAGCAAGAGCAGGGTGTGGTAGTTTTTTCCTTTGGTGGCTTTTACAAAACCATCTTAAGCTACTTCTTTGAAAGATGATGATGTTTTGAAAGAAGGATCATATTCAGTGTGTACTTATTCTTTCTTTTGCTTTTCTGCTCATTCTTCTTGTCCTTAGCTTCTGTAGCATTAAATGACACTAAGAGAGTTAATAATGGCAGCACAGCTTCAGAATACTCTCCTCCTGATAAGAAAACGAAAAGATGCCAGAAGCAAGCAGTGAAAAAAGAACCTGTGGTTGGAGGAAAGGCTGATGATTATGACAAGACAGAAGACAAGCAAGGTCAGCTTCACATGTAGGCCAGGGTGGACATGAACCAGCACGAGGGTCTCTAAGGAAGAAGAGTTATATGATGTTCTTTCAGTTCTTATCATTTTTCCTTCCTTGCAGATATAATTCTCCATTTTCATTTATTTGCGATTGATATCAACAAGTAATGAATTTACTTGTTGTTGTTGTTAAGTGCCTTTAAGTCAGTTCCGACCCATAGCGAACCTGTATAGGGTTTCCGAGGAGTGGCTGGGGAGCTTGAACCCCTGACCTTGAAGTTCAAACGGCTTTGCAGTCTGGCGCCATATAATTTACTAGTTCATTGTAAATTTACAATGCCACATAATTTACTAGTTCATTGTAAATTCACAACGCCATACAATTTACTAGTTCATTGTAAATTCACTGTACCTAGATTGATACAGGAGTCCTGGTGTGGTAATGCAGGTTAATGCACTGGACTGCAAAGTCGTTTAAACTGCAAGGTTGGCAGTTCAAGCTCACCAGCGGCTCCTACAGGGTCGCTGTAAGTCAGAACCAACTCAACGGCAGTTAACAACAGAGGCACCTCGAGAGTCATGGTGTGGCACTATAGGTTCAAACCCATCACAACTCCTCTGAACCCTATACAAGTTCACTAAGAGTCGGAACCGACTCAACAGCACTTAACAACAGAGGCACCGCAAAAGAAAAGCCTAGTGATGTACTTCTGAAAAATCAGCCATTGAAAACTATATTGAGAGTGATTCACCTCCTTCGATCAGGGTTAGTCAGATCTGTTGGGGGTTTTTTCTTGTTTAACCATGACAGTACATTAGATTTCCATGCACACTTATCTGTGTTTCCTCAGAATCTGTGAAGACCTTACTGTTAAAAGGCAAAGCTCCTGTAGACCCGGAGTGCACAGGCAAGGTGGGGAAGGTAAGAGACTCTAGAGCTAATCTTCAGTGAGTCCATTGACTTCTCCAAAAGCAGTATTGTTTTGTTATTAGGATTCCTATCTGAAACATTGCAACTGTTCGTATTAGCAATTCTCTCTACAAAATATTGCTAGTGATTTATTTTCTCCAAGGCCTGGGGGCTGAGAGTGTTAATAAATCAGGGTGTTTTTAACATGGTTTACATGTGTGGCTGTTATTGGCCTTCCACACTTCTCTTAGTCAGAAAATGCTACCATTTTTAAGGGAGAACGGTCTCTTTTGAAATTGTGCCCTGGAGTGGCGTGTGTTACTGAGGAAGGGAAAAAGGATTTGAAGAATGCAGAAAAACAGCTGCCTCTGAGGGCTGGCTTCCTTGAACTGAATTAGAATAATTTGTGTTTCTGTAATTAGAAGAAGGCAGCATGCTTTCAATAGAGTGACAAAAGGCTAATTGTTCAAGAATATATATAGTGTTTCCTTCTCTGGAGGATGGTATGAGTGGACATAGGTGGTTCTGGAGAATGACACCTTGAGGTTTAAGAAAATTCAGATCCTCACTTAGGATCTGCTCAGGACTGAGATTTGTAATGCCCTTTTATTTTGTTTATAGGCTCATGTATACTGTGAAGGGAATGACATCTATGATGTTATGCTGAATCAGGTAAGGAGAGGAACCGTTCTCTTTATGGGAATTGCTTTTTATTATTTTATTTCTAATGCCCAGATATTTAATTCTAAAGTCCCTTCTGTTAGCCACTAATAGTTGCCACCAAACCAGTACTCAGCCCTATCTTTGTGCAGCTACCATGTCTTTTGAACCTATGAAAACTGTTCAGATCCTTTTGCACACTTTCTAATAGATTACTGGCCTTTTTCTTACTAGTTTTAAGAAACTTTATATGATATGGAGGATAGCCCTTTGTTATCTAAATTGTTGATGGTTTCCAAATTTGTGACATAAATTTGTACTTTTTGCCTGTATTATAGTTTTTGTTATGGAGTTAAATTTGTTTCTTTTAAACTAACCTCTTTATTTAATTTTGTGTAGATAATACATTTATCCTTGATAATGAATTTCCTGGGTGTCTCTTCATATTTCATTGATTTAATATATATAATTTTAATGGTTTCTTAGTGTTAGTGTGGGGTCCTGGTATGGCCTTGTAGAATAAGCACTGCACTGCTAACTGCAAGGTCAGAAGTTCAAAACCACGAGCCACTCCTTGGAAACCCTATGCAGGGTAGCTATGAGTTGGAATAGACTCAATGGCACTTAACAGCAAGTGTTAGTGTGGTGCTGTGAGGTAAGCACTGTACTACTAACTACAAGGTTGGCAGTTCAAGCCCATCAGGTACTCCACAGGAAAAAGACAAGACTTTCTGTTCCTGTAAAAAAAACCCTCTGCAAGGTCACTATGAGTTAGAATCAACTTAATGTTGGTAGATTTGGTTTTCTTGGTAGTGTTTCTTACTGTACTATTTCTTCCATTTAAAATATCATGAGCAGGTAGAAAAGATATTAAGGCTTTTTTTTGTTCTAAAACCTTGTAATTATAATGTGGGAGTCCTGGTATAGGCCTGTGGGTTAATGTGCTGGACTGAAAAGTTAGTTTGAACCACAAGGTTGGCAGTTCAAGCTCACCAGCTATTCCTCAGAAACCCTATACAAGGTTGCTATGGGTTGGAACTAACTTGACATCACATAGCAGTAACAATTATAATGTGATCAGGTGAAAGGTTGTTGTTGTTGTTATGTGTCGTGGAGTAAGTGCCGACTCATAGCAACCCTGTGTAGGTTTCTAAGGAACAGCTGGTGAGCTTGAACCAGTTTCTGAGGCTGTAAATCTTTACGGGAGCAGAAAGCCTCATCTTTCTCCTACGGAGCCACTGGTAGTTTTGAACTGCTGACCATGAGATTAGCAGCCCGATTCGTAACCACTATGCTACCAGAGCTCCTTCACGTAAAAGGTAAGGGCAGGAAATGGCAGCACATTTAACAGTATTTGACTAATTAGGACTGGCCAGGGATGCATTACCCAATAAACAAGGTACCACAGCTTCGACGTGGTGAAACCCAGGTGAAATCGTTCACTTCAGATTAGTAAATAAGCACAGTTAGACCATACATTCCTTGCTTATTATAATCTTACTGGTTAATCCACTCTCGGGCCTGTGTCTCATCCTAGATTTCCCCCTCTCTTTACTTTGATTGACCTGAAGTCAGTTTAGGGTAGGTATGGGATAGATGTGTCAGTGGTTCCTGCATGGCCTTTGTCCTCTCCTAACATTGTCCAGCTCTCAGTTTATTGTTAAATTGCTACACCTAACAAATCAAAGCTGTGCTGTGCTTAGAACTCTCAGTAAGTCTTCTAAATAAAAATATAATTGTTGGGGACCTTTGGGGCTTCAAAATAGCTTCTTTTGGGAAGTTAATCATTGGGAATGAACTGTTGTTGTTGTGCTAGAAAATACAAACAGCCAAGGAAATGTGTATGGAGGAAGCTGAGGCAAGAGATAAAAAAGCAGGAGCCAATACAGGATATTTGAGGTTGAGTAGAGGGTATTAGGAAGCGAGGCTCCCACTTAAATTCCTAGGAATACAAAGTCTAATATATAAACTTTATTCCTCCCTGTAATAACCTGTTAACCACAACTTCGCTATTCAAAACCACCATCAGCTTTGTAGGAGAAAGATGAGATTTTCTGTTCCTACAAAGATTTACAGCCTCAGAAACCCTATGAACGCAGTTCTACTCGGTCCTATTCAGTTTCTAAGTGTCACAGTTGATGCCTGCAGTGGGTTTTTGGTTTCGTTAGTCCTTCCTTAAGGAGTGCTGGTGGTGCAGTGAGTAAGCGCTCAGCTCCTAACTGAAAGGTTGGTGGTTCAAACTCACCAGCTGCCTTTTTCTTATGTAAATTACTAGCACCTGTTACTAAGGAGGAGTCCTAGCATACATGGCTTCCATTTGCATACGTATCACCTACATATGTTTATTTCTCTCCTTTATAGACCAATCTCCAGTTCAACAACAACAAATACTATCTGATTCAGCTGTTAGAAGATGATGCCCAAAGGAACTTCAGTGTTTGGATGAGGTGGGGCCGAGGTAATGATTTTTATTACGGATTTTAAGAAAACCAAAGGCTGCTTAGTGAGGGACCAGAAGATCCTCTGATTTCCAATTGGTTAAGTGGAGGCCCTGAAGTTTGGAAGGGACTTAGAAATCATGTTGGGCTTCTTAAAATTTGGAAATTGAGAAGCTTCCTCATTAGGAAGTTTCCATAGACAAAGCTAAGTGCAGCCCCATAGAGACAAAACTCCCTTGAGGTTGGTCTGCTAGTGTTGTTCAAAGAGTACAGCAGTTAGTAGGTAACTTGTATCAACATGATTAGTTTTGTAAGCCCTTTCACCTTCCCTTTCCTACCCATTTGTCAGATGCTGAGCAGAAAGACTTTAGAGAGCGGTCTTGGTATTTATAAAGGAACTCTTTATGGGTTGAGTGATAGAGCTCCATCTTATCTGTGTCTTTTACTTTGCAGTTGGGAAAATGGGGCAGCACAGCTTGGTAGCTTGTTCAGGGGATCTCACCAAGGCCAAGGAAATCTTTCAGAAGAAGTAAGTGCTAAGTAATGAATACAAAAATATTACCCTTTTTATCTCCTAAGATTAGAAATCTTATAAATACAATTTGGCCTAAATGTTAGTGTCTTCCACTCATTCTCTAGAACACCAAAATGTGTTCTTAGATCAACCTAGTATCTTGACATTAACTAAAAACGGAAGACTATTCAACATACGACCAAGAAATTTAGAAAGTTTTTAAAAGTGAAGATCATTACAGCGTAGAGAGTGTCCAGCTAGAGTTTTAAAAAAAAACTGTCACTGTGATGAAGAACTTTCTGGAGTCTTTGGGAGTGTGCCCCTTTCAGAAAAAGGTATTGTTGGATAAGGATAAATTTCAGTGAGTTTTGTAGTGTTTTTGTGCTTTGAGAGCACACAAAAAAACTGGTCCTTTTTTTCTCATTTTTTATTCTCTTTTTCTTTAGAGCTTTCTGTCCATTAAAGGCCCTAATTTAGAATCCAGAATTTGGAAAGTTGATGTGGAAAGAACCTTGTGGGAAATTTAAATTTTGAAGGTTTCCTATCTAAGAAAAACAGTTGTAGAGCTCATTCCAGCAGCAGTGTTTTAAGTTTTTCTCACCATTTTGGACCCTACAGATTCCTTGATAAAACAAAAAATAATTGGGAGGATCGTGAAAAGTTTGAGAAGGTACCTGGAAAATATGACATGCTACAGATGGACTATGCCTCCACTGCACAGGTAAAAACTAGACTATCATCGGGGGGAAGCTGTTTCCTCTTAACCAGGGTAACATCAGGTAGAATGACTTAGACCAAGCCCTCGACTGTAATGGGCCAGGATACTTTTGAGTCATTGGTGTTTCTTACCTATTAAAAGATGACAATGCCCTCAGGGGTAATTCTCACTCATCTTTGTAATCTTAAAGGGGCATAGAATGTGGCTTTCTAGTCTGTATTTTCTGTGGTTCTCATAAAATCTTAGGTCCTTTTTCCAGAAATTTAATGTTGTAGATGAAGAGAAACAGAACCAAACCACAGTTTTGACTCCAGGTGACACTGTGTCAGAGTAGAACTATGCTCCACAGATCAAAAGACAAGTAGTAAATAATCCAAGTAATACAACTATATTTAAAGTTGTCTTAACTTCTGGTTATAAACCATTGGGGCCGGGGTCGGGGTCGGGGAGAGTTTTGTTTTGTTTTTCACAAACTGATATGTAACTAGGATGGTGAAAACTGGCTTAAAACTATCACATATCTGAAAAAAATGAAGTTTTAGTCTTTTTTAAAAAAAACTTTTATTGTGAATTAACTGAAGGTTCATAGAGCAGATCGTCAGTTTACTTTCAACAAATCACACATTTCATTTCATTTTGGTGATTGCAATCCCCTTATCCTACTTCCTCCTGTGGTTCATGTCTCCATTCCTCCTCTTCCCCCATCTTTCTGAGTTTTATCCTAGGTAAATGCTGCCCTATTGATCTAGAATGACTGACCATTCTATGGTGTGCATATTTCACTAGTGTAGTGTTGTGCATATCTCCCCCCATATACCATTAACTATCTATTGCTTGATTGAAAATTGAGCCCTGAGGGTGAGTTCAGTTCCAGACCTGAAGGGTGACCGAGGGCCATAGTCTCAGGGTTCCTTCAGTCTCTTTCTGACCAGTAAGCCTGGTCTTTTTTATGATTTTGAGTTTTGTTTCACAATTTCTCCCACTCTATTCAGGACCTTCTAATGTGATCCCTATCAGAGCAGTTGTAATTGGTAGCCACGCACCATCTAGTTCTTCTGGTCTAGAATGTGGAGACCGATGATGTTTGAGTGGTTGTTCATCAGCCCATTGGACTAATTGTTTACAAATGTCTTCAATTATCATCACTCTTCTTTCCTCCGTACAGGGAGACCCAAGAGTTAGACCTTATATGGCTGCTCATAAACTTTTATGAGCCCAGTCCAAATTCACCAAAGTAGAATGTAGAACATTGTTTGTGGACTTATGTCATGCCAGCTAAACATGGTTTCCCCTAAGACTATGGTCCTGAGACCCCAGACCTAGCAGCTCATTCCCTCAAGGTATATGGTAATGTCTAAGTTTCTATCATTTTGTCCGCTGTATGCTTCACCACATCCATGAGTACATTTGCAGCAAAGGTAAATGTTGTTAAGTGCTGTCATAGCTACCCTGAGGCAGTAAATCTTTGTAAATCTTCCCCTGTGTATGATTGGTGAGCTCAAACTGCCGACCTTATTATGGTTCACAATCTAGTGCTTATTCTACAGAGGTACCACACTCCCCAAAAGTAAATATCCATGTACAAATATCCTCTGTCAAACTTCAGTATTTGTGGGTAGATATCCATACTCCCTCCCACACTGTTTCACCTGTGTGTCTATCCATGTATCGTCTAGCCTTAGGTCACATTTATTGCAAGAAGTTTTAGTTTTTCAGTTGAGATGATTTGAAACACAATAGCTGTGCTTAGATATTTCAAGAGTTATAATATTAGGAGGGCAGTTTTAATTAGATAGTATTCTGATTTTTTAACTATAGGAGGCATAACTAAGGCTAGAAAGTAGAAGTCACAATGACTGATTCCAAGCCATGTTAATAATGGAATAGACTTGTGTTCAAATAAGCTGATTTATGATCATCTGCCAGGAACATGTAGAGTCAGTCCTTACAGGGAGCTTAAATTAGATCCTTTTAGATTTTATGGGCTTTGGTATTTGTTGTTGTTGCAATAGGTTGAAGAGGAAACAAACGAAGGGGAAACTCTAAAATCCCCCTTGAAACGTGAGTCGCAGCTGGATCTCCGGGTACAAGAGCTGATAAAGTTGATCTGTAATGTCCAGGCCATGGAAGAAATGATGATAGAGATGAAGTATGATACCAAGAAAGCCCCACTTGGTAAGACTTCCAGTTCTACTCTACATTCTCCATATTTCCTTGTTCCTTTAATGGGCTATTCCATCAGTGTTTTGATTGTACTGAATGAGGAAAAGGGGTTTGGGGGTGAACAGTTGTGGAAGGGTTGGGAGGGGTTCTGTTTTAGAAGTCTTTTGGTGGGTAAGACTGTAAGTGCAGTTTACAGTATGGGGCCTTATTTCTGAAGTCTGATCTCTGGCTGGACCCGCAGGAAAGCTGACAGTAGCACAAATCAAGGCAGGCTACCAGTCTCTTAAGAAGATTGAGGATTGTATTCGGGCTGGCTGGCATGGAAGAGTACTCACAGAAGCTTGCAATGAATTCTATACCAGGATCCCACATGACTTTGGGTAAGGCCTGTGCTGTTACGTCACTTTGTTCTTCTATCTCTGATATCACCTAGCAGCTACTGTGATCTTTTACGTTTTTCAGTCCTAAGGAAATTATTGTCTGAAATAAATACAGAACCAAAAGAATGTATAGCTAGACTATGGAATCTGCTAACAATTTGGGAGGCAGTCTCCTGGCCTGATTATAAACATATTCCCTGACCCAAGTGAAAGTCTTAATGCCCAGCTCCCAAGTAAAAGACCTTCAAGCCGTTCCCTTTTCATTAAGGTAACTGTAGTCCTGGTGTGGCGCTGTGGGCTAATGTGTCAGACTGCAAAGTCATTTGAACTGCAAGATCGGCGGTTCAAGCTCACCAGCTGCTCCTTGGAAACCCTATACAGGGTCACTATGGGTTGGAATCGACTCGACGGCACTGAACCACAACTACATTAACACCATTTCTGTGAACCCAAATGATGTGTTGTCATTGTTGTTAAGAGCCGTAAAGTTTCAACTCATAGCAACCCTCTGTAGGGTTTCCAAAGAGCTGCTGGTGGGTTTGTACCACCGACCTTGTGGTTAGCAGTCCAGTGCTAGTCTACAATGCCACACCTGGATTCATGTAGTCACATGAAAAAAAAATTTTTTTTTGATTCTATATGCTAGCTTTTAATGTTTTTATTTCTTTGTAAAACCTTATGACTTTGAGTGGTCCATAACTCTACCTCTGCTTCCAGACAGGACTGTATCCAAACTATTCCTTACTGATGTCAATATACCTTATTGAAAAAGGATTCCATAAAAACATATTTCTATCCTAGACTATGTAAATGTTAAAATCTGTATAGTTTGATATAGCTATCCTTCCATATATTTAGAAGTTAAAATCTCTTTACAGACCTTGAAAAAAAAAATTTCAAAGATCAGTTTCTCCTGTTTTCTAAAGGATCTGTTTTTTAGTCTGTTATTTTTAGTCATGTACCACACAACTGAGAGCTCATGGATTATACTTCTGTCTTTAGACTTCGTATCCCTCCACTAATTCGAACAGAGAAAGAACTGTCAGAAAAAGTGCAACTACTAGAGGTGAGGTATGTGTGGATTAGGAAGTATTAAATCTCTTGTTCTAGGTTCCTCCCATATTAATCTGCATCTCATCCCATCAGGCATTGGGAGACATTGAAATTGCCATTAAACTGGTGAAAACAGAGCTGCAAAGCCCAGAACACCCACTGGACCAACACTATAGAAACCTACATTGTGCTTTACACCCTCTAGACCACACAAGTTATGAGTTCAAAGTAAGAAAAATGATTATTTTATTCATACCTATAAATCTTACCTTCTTCCACCCCACTGTCCTCTAACTATATCTGGTTAAGAGCAAACTATCAAATAGCAGAGTTTTTATTTACTAGGCGTTTGGGAGGAATCCAGGACAGTTGCTCCTGTCTGTGGCGCTCTAGGATAAACACAGGACCTCAAGGTTGATTTGAACTGCAAAGTCGGCGGTTCAAACCAGCTACTTCTTGGAAACCCAATACAGGGTCGCTTTGAGTCAAAAGCTCTAACTGCTTTTGTGAGACCACTTGGGAACAGGAACCTGCCAGGCTATACGAGAAGCTGTCATCTTCTTCAGCTCAGCCTGGACTCTTTTGGAGCCCACAGTAGCCATTCCTTTTATCCTTTTCACAGGTGATTTCCCAGTACCTACAGTCTACCCATGCTCCCACACACACTGACTATACCATGACCCTCCTGGATGTTTTTGAAGTAGAGAAGGACGGTGAGAAAGAAGCGTTCAGAGAGGACCTTCCTAACAGGTCTGAGTGGGCTCTGGGTTTGGAATGGCATTCCGTCTTCCCCACTCTTAGGCCTTGCCCAAGTACACTTGTGGAAATGACAGAGGACGGTGACAGAGGCAGCTGGAAGATTTTTATGCGCTTGGCCTCTGTTTGCATTAAGAGTTCAAGTTGATAATAATGACTTTTCCTTAGGATGTTGCTGTGGCATGGTTCCAGGCTGAGTAATTGGGTGGGAATCCTGAGCCACGGGCTTCGAATTGCCCCACCTGAGGCCCCCATCACAGGGTATATGGTGAGTAGAAATTGAACCACAGGAGGAGACATAGGGAAAGGATAGTGATTTTCTTCTTTTCCTGCCCCCCCTTTATCTCCCCGCCCCCAGATTAGAATTAGGTGACAACCCTTTCCAAGAACTAAACCATTTGCCATTTCTTAGTAAGTACCTTTTTCTTAAATTTCCTAAAAATAACCCTCCTTTCTCAAGAGACCAGAGACTTGAAGATAATTCTACTCTCTCTGAAACAGAATTTGGGAATGAGGAGATTAAGAAAGGGTTTATATTATGCTTAAGAGAATGGTAACACAGGGTCAGTGGTATGAGCCTTCCTTTTAACACTGTGGGTTGAACAGCTGATCTTAATGTTTATTTCTACATTTCAGTTTGGAAAAGGAATCTACTTTGCAGATATGTCTTCCAAGAGTGCCAATTACTGCTTTGCCTCTCACCTAAAAGACACAGGACTACTGCTGCTATCAGAGGTGAGACAAGACCCAATCTGTGATCTCTAGTTTAGTGTTAGTTCCTGTTTTTCCAAAGAAAAACATTGGACTCCAGAACCAAGAGTTGAGAACTTGAGAGGGGAGCTAAGGACAATTCCCACTGCATTGCATTCCTCTGCTTGAGTTTGGAAAGAAACTATTGGTGGGCTTCTCTGCTGGATTTAGAGCCGTTCAGTTCTTGGAAGGACATAGACATTAAGATGTTTTGCTTTGCAGGTAGCTCTAGGTCAGTGTAATGAGCTACTAGAGGCCAATCCTGAGGCTGAAGGATTGCTTCAGGGCAAACACAGCACCAAGGGTCTGGGCAAGATGGCTCCCAGTCCTTCATGTTTCATCACCCTGTGAGTATAGCCAGGAGGCCCACGTGACTCCTTTTGGTCAGCTAAGACTCCATTCCAATTTCTGTCCCAGAGGCTGTTGTTGATACACCTTTTTCCATTTGACAGGAATGGGAGTACAGTGCCCTTAGGACCAGCTGATGACACAGGAGTTCTGAATCCAGAGGGTTATACCCTCAACTACAACGAATTCATTGTCTATAACCCCAACCAAGTCCGTATGCGATACCTACTGAAGGTTCAGTTTAATTTCCGACAGCTTTGGTGAATGTGTATATTGAATAAACCAGAGAACGTAAGCTCTTCAATTAAGAAAATAAACAATGTTATACTTTATAATTTTCTAATATTTTATGTAATAAAACAGAACAAACCTACTACTGACTTCTTTCAGACTTTGCTTCTCCAAGCACATATTTTTTCTGGTAACTATAGATATTCATTTCCAAAACAGAAAGTACACATTTACTCAGAATCCTATTTCTTCACAGCAGAACAGCTTCTGCACTGAGAGATACTAATGGGGGCTAATGCTTTTCCCTGTTCATTTTTTTCTGTGAACTGAAAGCTTGTTGAGTACTATTGCAAGAAGATTAGAGGTAGCCAAGGCTGAATTATCCCTTTTCCCCCATCCAAATCTCACTTGACTTTTCACCATGTAGACCAGGTCTCCCACCATTTAACATCCCATGACCTTACTGTCTGTCTCCCAGATGAGAGAAACTGAAAAATAGACTCTCTGCAGACCTAGCCAAAAAGACTGAGTAGAGTGAGAAATTTGGTCTTCACTTTCCTTATCCCAACACTCCAACCTTAGCTGAGGGGTTCTGTAGAACTTTCAGAGCACTTAAGACAATGAGAGCAGCATCTTGCCCTTGACCCAGGAGAGCAAGAGGCAAAGGACTAAAACCAGTGACTTTGAGGATGATGCTATACCATGGTTTTCTGCAGGATTTCTCTATAGGATTCTGAATCATAAATTTTAAATTACCCCAAATGGGGCTTCTAGTCACAAGGTACATGAGGAGGTAGTTTAGGAGATCTATTTTGAGCCATTGTAGGAGGCACATAGGAAAGGTAAAAACATAACCCATTTTGAGATACATCAACTGGAGGCATTCTTTATGTTTTTATCTTTAGATTTGAGGAGCCCCTCAGATATTGGGTAGAACTAAAGTCTTGTCTCTCAAGTGATTTCTCCATGGTAAAACCTATAATGAGAGCAAAACTCATTTCCTCTAAATTCCCCAAATCCTCAAAGCTCACTTCTTTATCTGTGCAGTAGATTTTCCTCAGGGAACCCTACCAATGCAGACCAGTTCTGGAATTCTTGGACACAGGACACATTTCCTTCTGCAACCCTTGGAATGAAAGAGCCTCAGAGAAATTCTCCCATGGAATATACTTGTAGGAAAATAAAAAGGTTCTAGAACTTTGGCTTAAGTGGATCAAAGTCCATGTTAAGGCCATACATATTGTTCATCTTTCCAAACAAATCTTGGTAAAATGCAACTGGAAACAAACAAACTTTTGTGACCTTTTTAAAGAACGCCAATTACTATACTAATATCTGCAGGTCACGTGGCTACTGCTGCCCTGTCAAGTTATGAGGGCCAGAAGACTTAATTTTGTTCTAAGTGCCCTAACTTCTCAATTCACATCTGGGTTGTTAAGTTCTGGCAGTTTCTGTGAGGGGAGATTAGTGTTGTCCCAGTCCTATCCCAGCTTTTCTAAATGGTCTGTTATGTGTACTACTGACTCTTCCTTTTCTGAGTATTAATTTGGCCAGAGAGAGGCCTTCAGCTCTCTATCCTAGTGTTGGCCAATTCCTCCTCCTGGCAGGAATGGTAGTATCCTAGAACCCTGGGGCTAACAAATGACACAGGGATTTTAGAGCCTGGTTTCAAAGAGTACCTCATGATCTGGTTCACCTAAAATTTCTAACGAGTTAATGGTTAAAGAAGAAACATAGAACATCCATATTCTTCCTTGGTCCAATTCCACATGAGAACACAGGCAGGACTGAACTTGAGATTTTCTGGCACTTTATTTTTATGATCTTAAGATCCTGGTGTCTTCAGGCTTTGTATCTCAAGCACAAGTGGTATCATTTCTGAGTTGTAACATCTTCATTCCCAGGACAAAAAGTATACGTTGCCCTGTGCATCTCCCACAGCAAGTTGCAGGGTATTATTAGGACCCAGCGAAGGTTCCAGGCAGTTCACTGCCCCTTCACAGCGGAACAGGCCCTGCTACAATGGGGACAAAAATGTGGAAGATGAGGGCTACAAACCTAGGGCCTCTCTACCAACTTAGTTTTCCCTCACATTAGTGCCTTTTATTTAGAAACAGGTTAGGAGAGCATCATTGCAAGAAGGACCAGCATGTGATCCTGCTCTTTCTTGTCCTGGTTTCTCTCGTGACATACCCACCCTTGCACCCCACCTTGCCACACTTACCAGCTGCATAGTGGATCTCTCCCACAGCTTAACATCTCTGTCCTTTGAAGCGGTCACCAGCAACTCGGGCAGCACATGGAGGGCCGTGACAGAACCCGAGTGGATCTCAGAGAAGAAAGGGAGTGAAGTAGGGTGAAATCTCAGTGGGTAGTCCTCAGTTGAGGAAGTACTAAAGTCTGATATGTCAGATCTAGAGCCCTCTCCTCCCAAGTCTACCTTCCCTCAAACTTACCTTTTTACAATGACGTGTACTCAGACTTGGGCTTGTTGGACAGATGTCCATTCTGACATTTAATCCCAAGCTTGTTGATGACTCTGTCACTGGAGTCTGAGTTTCTGGATTTTGCCAAATGTTACCTTTGATCCATTCTCCTTCAGGCGTGCTTCTGGCCATGTTCCATAGCATCCCATCAGAGCTGGCAAACAAAAATGAGGACTCTGCCAGTCCAAGGCCAGAGTTAGAGTCAGGGTAGGTATCAATTCTAGAAGCATCTACCCCTCTCCCTGAGGCTGTCCTCTGGCCCTCCTTGGGTCCTTCCATCACCACTCACCAGATTCAGGTTTGGCCTGAGTTAACCTTATTAGGGTTCCACTAGGATTTTCTAGATTCAGATTAAAGTCCAGGCTCTCTTCAAACACTCCTAATTCCTGTTGCCTCTGTGAAAGGACAGATCATTTTGTTCAGCTTACTCGTATCACTCAGCCCTGCCTAGACAAAACAACAGTTTTCTGCCCTCACTGGTCAGGCATTTTTTTAAGCTACAACTTAAAGTGTATGAATCTTCAACGCACCTCTCAAAGAATCAGTAAATACATAACAACCCATGCAAACACCTCCCAGATCAAGATGTAGAACATTTCCATCAACTTTCTCCCCATTCCCCTTCCCACACAATACCAGCACATTTTCCTCAAAGCCTCTATTACCATATTTGCCAGTTCTTGAACTTCATTTAAGTTTCGTCATAGAGTACTACTCTCTGATTACTTTTACCCAATATAATGCCTATGAACTCTTTCAATATTATCCCATTCATCAGTATTCAGTATCATCCTTTTTATTTTTCCCATCATTGAGCATGCCCTTGTATAAATATAAGGAGTATTGTAGGATAAGAACTGGTTTGCTAACCACAAGGTCAGCAGTTCAAATCCACCAGTTGCTTCCCAGGACAAAAATAAGGCTGTTTCCTCCTATGTACAGCCTCAGAAACCCTATAATGGGCCGCTCTGAGTCAGAATCGACTCCATAGCAATCGGTTTAGTCTTTTTGGTTTTGTATATCACACATTACTTATCATTAGTCTACTTATAGAGACATTTGGATTGTCTGGCATTTATGAATAAAGCTGTTGCTATGGACATTCTTGTTTCTTATGCACTCATTTCTCTTGGGCATATATTTAAGGGTAGAATTACTGGGTAAACGGTAGACTCTAGAAAGTAACTTCAGCAGAGAGGCAGGTGAGGAGTTGATGGCCTTTTTAGGGACAAAGGGCACCTTTCTAGTTCCAGTTGCCTTCGAGTCGATTCAGACTCATAGTACGTGTGTCAGAAAAGAACTGCTCCATAGGGTTTTCAATGACTGATATTTTGGAAGTAAAGGGCCAGGTCTTTCTCTCAAGCACCTTTCAGTGGACGCAAACCTCCAACCTTTAGGTTAAGAGCTGAGCTTGCTCATTAACCCTTTCTACTACCCAGGGCTTCCAAATGGCTCCTAAGAACCTATATTTAACATGACCAGCCAGCTTTGTGTACACCCAAACCAACATCTATAGGGTAACAGCTATGTCTAATGACAGAGACAAGATGCAGTCCTTTTGAGTAGTGGATATTTACAGTGGCAAAAAAGACAGATATGAAAAAGTAATAATACAATTAAGACTATTCCCCAGTTTATGGTTTCAAATAATTTTTCAAATATTAAAAAATACTTTGCACCAATGAAATCTTACAAGAAACCCCAACAAATAAAGCTCTTAAGTACTACCAGTCCAGTGGAATAGGGAAAGGGATATAGAGCCAATTGCCTTTCCTGTCCCATTTTTCTCCATATTGATCCCCAAGATTTAAAAATACTGGTCCGAGACAAATGTTAGCTTTAACACACCTGCAAACAGGACTTACTAAGAAAGAAAGAACTTCAGGATCCACTGACTGCACAGCAAATATACCATAATCCTTGTGGGTGGACAACAGTGTAAGGCCATTTTCTGAATAGCGGTTCCTGGTTTGGAAGAAAGAGGCTGAGCTCAGGAACCCGTCTCTAGAAGATGCCAGTGTTTTGTTCTGAGCTACTTTTGTTCAGTGTCAGTTTTGTTCAGTGTCACTACTAATCCACATTTTATCTTTTCCTTGTTTGGGAGAAGCAGCATGTTGGAACTTACCAAATTTCGGAGAGCTCATTCCCTGGCATCAGGTGCAGCAATCTCAAACCTGCCTTGGCCAGGATGAGGGAGTGCCCATCATGGGCCAAGCCCAGACCTGTCAAGACTCCCGTGTCCTCCTGCAGAACGTGGTTCAGATAAAGGCTGTAGCACAAACCAAGTAAATGGACAAAGAAAGAGATGCCTCAGTTCCCCAGGAATTTCTCAGGAGTGAATCACAAAACAAAATGCATTACCTTCCCTACAAATCCTGGAAGTCGTTGTTTTTCTTGTATCAGTCAGTGTTCATCATCACTATTCCCTAATTTGCTCAAACTAGCAATCTCTAACATTCTTAACTCTTCCTTCCCTCCTTACCTTCACTGACAAGTCCTGTGGATATATTTGCATCTCTCTTTCTCATCCCCAAAGCCCAACTCAGGGCAGGCATGTCTTTCCCGGACTCCAATAACAACTGTTAAAGTAGTCTCCCTACCTTTCGTATCTCTCTACAACTAACTACCCATCCTCTACGCAGCACCGATTTTTTTCCTTCACAATAAAAGTTCTTATGTCCTCTATAGCCTGGCCCCCTTTCATCATCTCAACCCAATTTCACCCCAGTCTCAGCATGCACCCAAGTACCTGGCTATACCTAGAATATACCATACACCTTCATGCCTGTTGAGACCACTCCCTCTTCCTGTTCCTTTCAGGACCTAGCCCAGAAAACTCTTATTCATTCTTTAAGCTCAACCTCAAATGTCCTCTTTTTCCTACATTATCTTAAAATCTGCAGCCTGAGAACTTTCATATATGTACCTTTATTATAGCAATCATTGTGAGTATTGTTGTATACATATTCCTTTACTGTGAGCTTTAACTAAGGTTAAGGGATAAGTTTCATGTGTCTCTGGGTCACACTGCCTGTCCTAATGCTGGACATAGAGTAGGAATTTGATCATTATTCATTTATACCGACATGGTGAGAACCAGAAAACAATTTCCCAAGAACTTTTTCCTTGCCCCAGTCAGAAGCAGAGGTAGGCAGAGCGATTCGAGTAAAATCCTGGGTATACGTAGAGTATTGTTCCTACTATGTTAACCCCAGCTGTCTCCATTCACCTGAAATTTCTAGATGTTGAACCTCTCTGCTGTTCCACCTGCCACTCGCTGAGTTGCTCATCAGCATTCAGAACGAAGAAGGTGTTTGCTGAGCACCAGATCAGGGCACTGACGCGGCCTGGAGACTGATATACACAACAAGTTAGAGTTAGGATTCTTGCCGAGCCATGCCTGGTATGTGTCTGGAGCAGAATGTGCAGAGAGAGAGCAAAGGAGGGAGGCAGCCCCAACTCACCTGTGCTGTGGCCACAGCCTTTGCTTCTTGCCAAAGGATTAGTTCCCCAGTCTGATTCCCAGACACTGCCATGGAACCATCTGGGGCCCAGGCCACAGCAGTGATAGCTACAGGATTCTTAGGTATGTATGCGTCATCTGGTGAGGAAAGAAAATACTGCATTAGAAGCCAGGCCACTGCTGGGGTACAAGAGGAGATATTAGGCTATCTTACCCTCTCCTGAACCTGGCCTCTCTCCACGCTGTACTCACCTGCTTCCTCGGGTACCTGCCAGAGCCGGACAGAGCCATCCTCTGAGGCAGTCAGCAGGAGGCTTGAAGTGTCTGAGACAGCAACTGCACTGACTGGTCCACTGTGTCCCAGGAGGGTGTGTGTTTGAAACACCTAGGAGGAAGGGATGTAGATGGGCAGTGGAGAGTTGACGCAGCAGAAAGCGGCCCCAGATAGTCTATCACACTGCCACCCCAATCCCTGCAGGGAGCTCACCAAGAGTGGATGCCACAACCTTGTGGTCCCATCCAGTCCAACAGTCACCACCAGAAGTTCTGAGCCAGGCTGGCCAGCTGAGAAGACAGCAATAGAATGAGAAGAAGGGATGAAGCAGGGGAATGAGAGAGGGGGGAGCGGGGTGGGGAGGAATGTGGCTGGTGTTCCACTACCTGTACGTGGCTCCTGGGCAGCTGCGCAGTGGCTGATGGGTCCTGAGTGAGCTGGAATGCTTGTCAGCTCCACGCCCTGATGGTCCCACACTTTCAAGGTCCCATCCCGACCCACAGACACCACATGCTCCTCCTGCACCCAGAGCACAGCATCAGACTAGGGTTATACTGAGCAGGACATGGAAGCGTGCCTCTCATGACAAAGGTGTGGGCTGGACCATAAAACCGTTAAACAGCCCATCGCCATCAGTCCATTCCTGTGCATGGCAACCCCAAGTATTGTTGAGTAGACCAGCGCTCCTTAACGTTTTCTCGGCTGTGATCTTTATGGAAGAAGATCACTAGACTTTTCTTCCAAATAGGGACTTAGAAGATACCAAAGGCTGAGGCCAACCCAGGGACAGCAGGGCTGGACTGCTCAGGAGTGCAGTCCTGCCATGGGTCATACACCACCAAGATGCTGTGTTTCCATATTCCCCATGCTTCCCTCACACCAATCCTCCACCCTAATCATTCCCTAGTCCCAAGCATCAGATTCTTTATATTCCTTTCACTTTCCGGGTTAGACACCCAGTGCATCCAGTCTCTCAAAGCACCCTCAGTCCTCCCAGAGCCTGGTGAGCCTCCAGTGTCTTCTCACCCCAGCTGCCACAGCGCTCACAGCACTCTGATGACCCAGGAACTGACCAAGCTGCTGTCCTGACTTAGGGTCCCACAGTCCCACAGAGCCATCACTGGAGCAGGACACCTGTAAAGTGAGAAGGCAGAGGACTGGAATGATCAGCATCCCTGCCTTTTAGTATGGGCTCTCCTGGCTTCAAATTCTAGCTCCACCATTCATTCCCTTGTGACCTGGAGCAAGGTTTCTCATCTCTTCAGTGAGGATAATGATAACGTACCTATCTGATATGGCTGTGAGGCTGAATATATCTATATAAAAAACTCAGCTCACTTGCTTGCACATGCTGTTGTTGTTAGGAGCTGTCAACTAAGTTCCGACTCATAGTGCACAATAGAATGAAACACGGCCTAATCCTACGCCGTCCTCACAACTGTAACGTTTGAGCCCATCGTTGCTGGCGAGGAGCAGTGACGCTATAAGATAAGCACAGGACTGTGAATCAGGCAGCAGTTATAGCCCATCAAGATGAGGCTTTCTGCTCCCACAGCGATTGATTTAAAGCCTTGGAAACCCTATACAAAGTTGCTATGGGTTGGAACTGACTCCACGACACTTACCAACATCAACAACGTTGCTGCCACTGTGTCAATCTATCTTGTTGGGCATCCTCCTCTTTTTTGTTGACTCTCCACTTTACCAATCATGATGTCCTTCTCCAGGGACTGTTCCCTCCTGACAACATGCTCAAAGAACAAGAGATGAAGTCTTGCCATCCTCGTTTCTAGGAAGCATCTAGCTGTGTTTCTTCCACGACAGGTTTGTTTGTCCATGGTACTTTCAATACTCTTCGCCAACAACATAATTCAAATGCACCAATACTTCTAGGTTTCCCTTATCCACTGTCCAACTTTCACATGCATATGATGTGAGTGAAAATACCATGCTTTGGGGTAGGCACACTTTAGTCCTCAAATTGACATCTTTGCTCTTTAATTAAAGAGGTCTTTTGCAACCAATGTGTCTAATGAATGAGTCATTTCATGTCTTGCCTGCTGCTTCCATGAGTATTGATTGTGGATCTAAACAAAATGAAGCTTTTGTTTTTTTCTGTTAATCATGATGTTATTTTCTGTTATTTTCTTTTTTTTCTGTTAATCATGATGTTATTTACTTGTCCAGTTGTGAGGATTTTCATGTTTCTTACATTGAGGGCATCCATTCTGAAGGCTGTGGTCTTTGATCTTCATTAGTAGGTATTTGAACTCCTCTTCATGTCCCACAAACCAGGTTGTGTTATCTATATATTTCAAGTTGTTAAATGAGTCTTCCTCCAATCCTGATGCCATGTTCTCCTTCATATAATCCAGCTTCTAGAATTAATTGCTCAGCATACAGATTGAGTAAATATGGTGAAAGAATACAACCCTGGCACACACCTTTCCTGATATAAAAACCCTTTAGTGTTTCCTTGTCTGTTCGAACCACACCTCTTGGTCTATGTACAGGTTCCTCCTGAGCACAATTAAATGTTCTGGATTTCCCATTCTTTGTAATGTTACCCATAATTTGTTATGATCCACACAGTCAAATGCCTTTGCATGGTCATTAAAACACAAGTAAACATCTTTCGATTGGTATTCTCTGCTTTCAGCCAAGATTCATCTGATGTCAGCAATGATATCCCTAGTTCCACATCCTCTTCTGTATCCAGTTTGAGTTTCTGACAGCTCCCTGTTGGTGTACTGTTGCAGCTGTTTTTGAATTTTCCTTACCATGTGATATTTACTTGTATGTGATATTAATGACTTTTTTTTTTTTTTTTATGATTTTTGCATTCCATTGGATTACCTTTCTTTGGAATGGGCACAAATATGTATCTCTTCTAATTAGTTGGTCAGGTAGCTGTTTTCCAAATTTCTTGGCATAGATGAGTGAGCACCTCCAGTACTATTATCAGTTTGTTGAAAGATTTTAAATTGGATTCCATCCATTCTGGGAGCTTTACTTGTGCCAGTTCCTTCAGTGCAACGTGGACTTCTTCTGTCAGTACCATGGGTTCTTGATCATATACTACCTCTTGAAATGGCTGAACATCAACCAATTCATTTTGGTATACTGACTGTGTATTCCTTCCATTTTCTTTTGATGCTTCCTGCATCACTCAATGTTTTACCCATAGAATCCTTCAATATTGCAATCCAAGGTTTGAATTCTTTCCTCAGTTCTTTCAGCTTGGAAAATGCTGAATGTGTTCTACCCTTTTGGTTTTCTAACTCTGGGTTTTTGCATATTTCATTATAACACTTTACTTTGTCTTCTCGAGTTGCCTTTTGAAATTTTCTGTTTTGCTCTTTAATTCCACACTTCTTCCAGTTTCTGTAGTTTCTCTATACTCAAGAACAAGTTTCAGAGTCTCTTCTGACATACATTTCATCATTTCTTTCTTTCCTGTTTTTTTAATGACCTTTTGCTTTCTTCATGCATGATGTTCTTGATGGCATCCCACAACTCTTCTGGGTTTTGATCATTAGTATCTAACGCATCTAATTTGCTCTTAAGATGGTTTTGAAGTTCAGGTGGTATATGCAAGGTCCTATTTTTGCTCTCATGGACTTGCTTTGTTTTTCTTCAGCTTCAGTCTGAACTTGCATATGAGCAATTGATGGTCGTTCCACAGCTGGCCCCTGGGCTTGTTTTGGATGATGATTTTGAGCTCCCCAACATCTCTTTCCACAGATGGAGTCAATTTGGTTCCTGTATATTACATCTGGTGAGGTCTTCATGTACAGACTCCTTTTATGTTGCTGGAAAACATAATGAGTAAGTCTTTGGTCTTGCGAAATTCTATCAGGCAATCTTCAGCATCATTTCTATCTACAAAGCCATTTTTCCAACTTTAGGTCCTTCCTCTTTGTTTTCAACTTTCACATTCCAATCGTGAGTAATTATCAAAGCATCTGGATTGCATGTTTGATCAATTTCAGACTTAAGAGGTTGGTAGAATTCTTCAACTTCATCACTTGCTTAAGTGGTTGGCGCATATATTTGAATAATAGTGGTATTAGCTGGTCTTCCTTGTGGTTGCTGCCGTTGTGTGCTGTTAAAGCAGTTCCAATTCACAGTGATCCTGTATAGGATTTCCAAGAGTGGCTGGTAGGTTTGAACTGCTGACCTTGCAGTTACCAGTCCAATGCTTAACCTACAGTGCCACATTAAGTCTTTCTCATAGGTGTAGCAATATAATCCTGTAACAGACAACATTATATTTGAAGACTGATCTTGAGATGCTCTTTTTGACAATGAATGTGATGGCATTCCTGGCTTAGTAAATTGTATGATTGTCTGATTCAAAATGACTAATACCACTAATGCCTAGGACATCAATCTTTATGTGTTCCATTTCAGTTTTGACAACTTTCAATTTTCCTAGGTAACTGCTTTGTACATTCCACATTCCAATTATTAATGGATATTTACTGCTGTTTCTTCCCATTTTGAATTGTGCCACATCAGCAAACATAGGTCCTGAAAGCTTCGCTTCCTTCATTTCCTTAAGGTCAACTCTACTTTGAGGAGGCAGCTCCTCCTCAGTGGTATTTTGAGTACCTTCCAACTTGATGGGCTCATCTATATCTGACAATGTTTTGCTGTTATTCCTAAGGCTTTCAGTGGCTGACCTTTAAGAAGTTGTTTTCTCAGTCTGGCAGTTCCACTAAACACTATCCACCATGGGTGACTGATGGTATTTAAAATATTGGTGACATAACTTCCAGCATCACAGCAATACCAAGTCACCACAGTATGACAAACTGACAGAGGAATGCTGGGCCTGGCATACAGTAAGCATTTAATAAATAGTAGCTGTTGTCCTTAACATACTGTCAGTCAACAAACCCAGAAAATGGTGGAAAGTCTGCCAACGCCAACGAAAGATTTAGATTCTTAAAAGGATAGACTGTGACAAGTCTTTGCAACCAATATTCACTCCTTTCTCACCCCCCTTTTTGAGAGCAACATGGGGCTTCTGCATGGGAAAACTAGGCTTCACCAACCCTGAATAAATAATTGGAGAATCATTTTTGCCTTAGAAATCATACCTCTTTTCCACCAGGAAATCATGTATCTTTACCACCAGGGATAGCACATCCCAAGTCTCTGGGAAGCTAATACTGTGTTCTTGATAGGAGAATGGGTTTTCTTTTCAGAAAGTTCCTGGTTCAGCTGCATCACTTACATGACCTTGGACATATTCTTTAACCTGCTTAACCTCAATTTTCTTGTTGGCAAAATGTAGAGATTAGGTGGATCTATTTTACAAGGTTATTAAGTGAGATTGTTACATACAAGGAAATGCATGGCACATAGTAAAGTGCTCAATAAATGTTAGCTATTACCAGTCGCTCCTGGGAAATCCTATGTAGGATCACGAGTCAGAACTAACTCAACAGAACTAACAACAGCATTACTATTATTAATGGATGAGAGAAAAGGCTGAGTAGATGCAGGAGATGGGAGTGCTGCCTTCCTCCAGGAACCTGCTGAGCTTTTCCCTCCTCCCACCCCTTCACTCACCAGTAGGTTGTCTTTGGTCCAGGCACAGCCAGTGACCCAGTCACGGTGACAGGCAGAGAAAGAGCGAGTCAGAACGGGGGCACTGGGTGTCCTCACGTCCCAGCATAGGAGACTCTGGATAGGTCCAAGGAGAAGAAGTAGTCAGGGCCATAGAGGGTGGTGGGAACACCAGGGCTATTTTAGATAAAAAGTTTTAAGCAAATAGAGAGTGTCAAGGAAAGGCGGGTGGGTAGGTTTAGCATAGGAGGTTGTTGTTCTTGTTGTTAAGTGCTGGTTCCGACCCACAGCGACCCTGTATAGGGTTTCTGAGGAGCAGCTGGTGAGCTTGAACAGCTCACCTTGCTGTTCAAACAGACCTTGCAGTCCAGCACATTAAGCCGCAGCACAACACGAGAACTCCAGCATAGGAGTTGGCGACTGTCAAAAAGCAGGAGGGAGCAAGGGGAAGTGGGCTGCTAAGGAGCTTGGGAACAGAGGCTGTGGTGTCTAGGGAGAAGGTGGGGGCCCAGGGTGGCATCCTACTGTGGCTCACCCGATCCCTGCCCCCAGTGGCCAGGCTGCCTCCATCAGTGCTGAAGCTACAGCAGTTTACAGGACCGTCATGTCCTCGAAGCTCAGTAGCATTAGGAAATTCTTCTGCTTTTTGTGGCAGGGTCAGTAACTCCCTGGGCCACAGTCGCACTGTGAAATCCTCTGCATTAGAAACAAGTAGAGAGGATGTTGTTGTTGTTGTGTGCCATCTAGTCGGTTCCAACTCATAATGACCCTGTACAGAGTTTCCAAGGAGCAGCTGATGGTTAGCACTCCAGCATTTATCCTACATTGCCACAGCAGGTTCCTTGGAAGAGGAAGCAAGACAGGCCTGGGAGGCCAAAGATGAAAGTAATCATTGGGCTGAGGGTGATATCTGAGGGCACAGCTCCAAGGGAGGGGCAGCTAAGCCACAAGACTGTTGAAAGGCCATGGGCAAGGATCAGTCATGATGTGTAAACACAGGATAGGAATGCCAGGCACTCCCAGGTCTGGCTCTTTATCTCCCTAGCTCCTTTCTGCACTTCTCATGGCAGCTGTTCCAGACCCCTTCTCTTCCCAAGGGTCTAGTGTCACTTCCACCTCACCTGTTACTGTTATTAGCAATAACACCTAGAGAGGACCAAGGCCATTCTGCATTTTCACCTTAACATCTCTTTCTCTCCTAAGGGACACCCATCCCTTTGCACAGCTAAATCCTCCCACTGAACATTAACCCAGAAGTTTATTGGGATTGCAAAAAATCCCAAGGTCAGGGTTACTGAAAGGGAAAGAAATAAAGTTGATACTGATTAATTTGAGATAAAAATGTTTAAAAGTACTTTGAAAGCTATATTTTAAAAGGGTAAATTAAAAGTGTTACTACTAGGGTTCCAGTTTGTACTTGCACAGGTTTATTCCAAACAAAATGTGTTTAAATATGTCTCTGCAACTAGTGGATGGCTGCCGACAGCTTCTCTTAGTAATAAACATGTCTTAGTGTGGTCCTGTAGGATCAGCACTGGACTGCCATCCAAGGTTGTCAGTTCAAATCTGCCAGCTGTTCCTTTGAAACCCTATACAGGGTCTCTATAAGTCGAAATGGACTCGATGGCACTTAACAACAACAGTCTCATTAGGGAGCCTACAAAGAAAAGGTCCAATCAGAACAGTGGCTTCTAAAGGGCTCTCTGGACCAGTTCAACTTAAGGCACAGAGGTCAGCTCAGAAGGTAATGGTGACTGGTTTTTGAGGTTCCAAAGGAGTAATCTTAATAGATCTTAAAGGACACAGGACAATCAGGGGGTCTTATGATGAAGACGTTTTAAGAGAACTGAAAGCTGCACTGGTGAGAAAAAGACCTGGAAAGTTTGAGGAATTTTTTCCCATCATGACAATGCGCTCGCTCCTTCTTCGAGGGAAGCAAGGGCTGTCCTATGAGAAGTACATTAGGAAACCTTACCCCATCCACCCTATAGTCCTGATCTTGCGTTTTCAGACTGCTTTGTATTTCCTAAATTCAAAGAGTATTAAAAAGGAACATGTTTTGAGTCCTCCAAGGATGCCAAAACTGCTGTTTTTAGGTGGAGCAAATTGAAGAGTGCAGAATTCTTTGGGGAAGGGTTAAAGAGATGGAAACACTTTCTAGAGAAGTGTATATAGAACTAGATGGAGGATATGTTGGAAACAATAGCTTTACATTTTGATATTTTTGTTTAATAAAAATTTCTATGATTTTACACAATACTTTTTAACTTATCCTCATATATGTATGTGTGTGTGTGTATGCATAGGTACAGGATGGATTCCTGGTATGGTCCTATAGGATAAGCACTGGATTGCTAACTACAAGGTCAGCAGTTCAAACCCACCAGTTGCTCCTTGGAAAGCCTACACAGGGTCGCTATGAATCGGATTTGACTTGACAGCACTTAACAACACACACACACAAATACCCTGTATAGGGTTTCCAAGGAGCAGCTGATGGGTTTGAACTGCCAACCTTGTGGTTCGCAGTCCAGTGCTGATCTTACAGCACCACACCAGGACAGGGGGCTTCAAAAAGTTCCTGGAAAAATGAAATTAGAAGGTAACGGAATTTTCCTATGCACTTTTTGAAGGCCCTCATATGTATTTATGTATACATGTATGTTGTTATTAATTGCCATTGAGTCCGTTTTGACTCATAGTGAGTGACCCTGTGTAGGGTTTCTGAGGAGCTGCTGGTGAATTTGAATCACTGATCTTGCGGTTCAAACAGACCTTGAAGTCCAGTGCTTACCCTATGGTGCTATACTAGAACTCCAAATACATGTTTATGTATATACATATTCAAGGAGCCCTGGTGGCTTAGTGGTGTGAAGTGCTCAGCTGCTAACCTAAGATCTGCAGTTTGAATCTATCAGCCATTCTATGTGAGTTAGAAAGTATTAGCATATTTACATGAAACAATGATTCAGCAACCCTGCCCCCCCCCAGCTTAGTAGTAGTACCTGAGACAGAAGCCAAGAGTTCTTGGGAGGTAGCCAGTCCTAGCACAGGCTTCTGGTATCTGGATAGCAGCCAGAGGGACCTGAAGGAGCTTTTCTTGAAAGCCCAGCCCTGCAGAGACCCGTCTTCTGCACCACTCACCAGAACCTCAGGGCTGAGCCAGGCCAGTGCCGACACTGCCACATTCAGTGCTTGACACTGAACCTCCTGGGGATCTAGAGAATGAGCCAAAACAAGAGTAAGACCCTTGGAACAGGGGTGGGCATTCAGGGATGGCCTTTTTCTAAAGGCTCAAACACCCATCCCCTCCCTCTTCAGTACCTGAAGAGATTCTGTAGATCCTAATGCCGTCTGCTCGGTACCCAACAGCCACCCAATCACCATCTGGCCTGAGAGCCACACAGAGAGCAGGAGACAGAGAAGGGGAGCCCAGGCACCCGCAGGGCCGACCCAGAGAACCTGACCACACCTGGACCTAGGGACCAGGAAAAGGACTTGAAGATAGGTCACCTCTGCCACCCGATTCCTCACTCCCAGGGTTATAGAATCCTGGCAAAACCCTCCTTCCAGACTCTTCTCATGAGAGCTGCTCCTACTTACACCCCACCCTCTCCCTGTAGTGCCCACCAGTCAAGCTTTCTCCACCATCTCCTCTGCAAATGCATTAAATGCATTACCCTCACCCAACACTCCTGCCTTGGTGACTCCCTCCTCATAATCCCTCCCACCAGCCTCTATATCTGACCTTGCCATCCTCGCCAGCCGTCAATAACTGGCTCCCAGCACGCAGGAAAAGGGCACCAGAAACAAAGCCATGGTGGGCAGGGAAGGTAGCCAGTTGTGCCCCCTCTTGCCAGGCCCACAGCTCCACCATCCTGTCCAGCCGGCCTACAGCCACTACCCGCCCAGACACATTGAAGGCCAAGGTACGGACAGAGGTTCCTGGGGCCCCCAGTTCCTATACAGGGAGTTAGAAATTGAAATGTCAGGACCTACTCTTCATACAAGCTTATAGGGATACAGTCTGTCAGTCCACACCTCCCATCCTTCTGTGCGTCCTCCCCTAGGTTGACACAGGACCTTCTTACCTTGGTGACTTTGAGCCTGTTGACCCGGAGGAAGCTGAAGCTGCCAGCCCAACTGCCTGTGGCTATTACCTGCCCTTCTGGGTGGAAAGCAATGCAGTTGAGGGGCTTAGGAAAGGTGTGCTGGGAGGCCAGCTGCCCACAGACTGTGTCCCACAGCTGGAGAAGACAAGAGAGGAGGCAGAGTGCTGAATACAGATGTCTAAGCTCCCAGGCCCAGAGCTTCAGGGGTCATCTTGTCCAGTCTCCTGCCCTTAGCAGGAAGGCCTCCTCAGGCCAAGCCATCAGCAGCCCCTGGCACACTGACAGACCTCCTGATGGGCTGACTCACAGTTTAGAGCCTCCAAGACCACCCCAGGTCCCTAGGCTTTACCTTTAGGCATCCTCCCAGGCACACGGTTGCTAGCAGCCTGCGGTCTGGACTTAGGCAGCAGCCAGTGATTTGGTATTGGTGAGCCTTGGTCTGGAGCACCCTGTCCCAGGAAGGCAGAGTCAGGCCCGGGGATCCCGGGGTCATGTGCTCCTTCTTTATTTCCCTCCCCTGAACTTCTGTCAAAATGGGGAAGGCCCTCACAGCAGGATCTGGAAGAGAGGCCCCTTACCGACACCCATGCTGCAGGTCCCACAGCTCCAGGAGCCCATCGAAGGCAGTAAGAAAGATGGACGTGTCAGAGAGAAACAAACAAGAAGAGATGCCATCACAGCCACTCACCACAGACTTCTCCTCCTGTGAGAACAAGTGGGGGAAGCTCAGCTCAGGCTACCACCTTGGCCCTCCACATGCTCTCACACCAGACCCCACCCAAGCAGGACTTGAGACCTTGACTGTCCACATTCCCAGGCCAAGCACAGGTGCAAGTGGGACTACTTCTCTTCCCCAACCCCAAATCCCATACCTATCCCACAAGTCAGAGATTCTAGTGATCTCCCTCCAAAACATCAGTTATTTAGAAAAACCCTATAGAGCACAGTTCTACTCTAACGTACATGGGGTTACCACGAGTTGGTTATCAACTTCATAGCAACTGGTTTTTGTTTTTGTATGGGCTTTTGTCCATGTATATATATGTTGGGGTGACAGAAGTGGGAAGAGGAGAGACAGTGGCTAGGAAGCCCTCTGCAGCCTAACCTACTGTTGGCCTCCCATAAACATCTTCTGCTGAAATCATTCTCAGCAATTTACAGAAAGCATCCTCCCCTCTGTGCCTCTGCTCAGGCTCCTCTCTCTACCCAAACACCTGCCTTTTTCCATTCACTCTCCTCCTCAAAACAATACAGCTCACTCTGCTCTTAACTAAATCATACTAGTTTTGGTTATTTTTTTAACCTTCTGTGTCTTGTTGTTGTTGTTAAGTGCCGTCAAGTCGGTTCCGACCCATAGCGACCCTGTACAGGGTTTCCGAGGGTGTAAATCTTTACGGGAGTAGAAAGCCTCATCTTTCTCCCGCGGAGCGGCTGGTAGTTTCGAACCGCTGACCTTAAGGTTCGCAGCCCGATTCGTAACCACTACGCTACCAGAGCTCCCAGCAAAACTGACTGCCTGGTAAACAGACACAATGGTGTGCAGCAAATATTTGCTGCGATTGATTTTTTGAACAAGCCCTTTTGATCACATGCGAGGACAACGAAATTGTTGAATCAACAACTAGGGCGGAGAGCAGGTTGGGTGTGGCTTATCTAGGGTTTCTAAAGGTGAACTCTGCCTGGAGTGTCATACCTGCCAGGAGTTCAGGTCCAACAGGTAAAGTGTCCCGTTAGCAGTACCCACGGCTGCCCTCTGTCCACTGGGGGAGAAGGCCACTGCTGTGGGGGAGGACACTGACAGAGACAGGCCGGAGCTAGAGAAAGAACAGGTAGAAAGAGAGGCTGTTAGGGATAGGACGTACTGGGAATCCATTTCTGCATTTCTGTGCTCAAATCCTCCCCTTTGCAGGAACTCTTGTCTGTTCTTTCTTCTCTGTTTCAAAATGGCTTGCAGCTTGTTTCTCTGGTGGACTTTCTTGGGTCTGGGGTTGAGTGTCTTACCTTTGCTGGCTCCCCATGGTCTGGGGTTTATTAAGCCATCGCAGTATGTGTGTGAGTTTCCATTGCTGGGAGAGATTGTGGGCTTGGTGACAAAGAGGTGAGTCCGGAGGCTGGTTGGCTGTCTGCTGGTACAGAAGTAGTGGGTATTGACTGAGGACTGGTGCCTGCTGCCTTAGGAAGGCACGAAATACAGCAACGTCAGCATCAGGGAGCTTCTGTTCCTCTTCCGGGACTGAAGAAACTATAAAAGAGGGAGCATGTCACTGGGGAGCCACCTTGGACCCCATTATCCTCAGCATTGATAAACTTGCATGGGGTGTCTAAAAGGAAAAGTCTGTCTGGTCCTCTGACTATAAACATCAGGAACACCTGTTGAAAGTACAAAGTTTTGGGCCCCCCTCCAGACCTAAAGACCCCAAACCAGTTGCATTGGAGTCAACTACGACTCATGGCAATTCCATGTGTGTCAGAGTAGAACTGTGCCCCATAGGGCTTCCAGGGGCTGAGTTTTCAGAAGTAGATCACCGGGCTTTTCTTCTGAGGCAATGTTGGGTGAACTTAAACTTCTAACTTTTTAGTCAGCAGCTGAGCACATTAACCATTTGCACCATCCAGGGACTTATACTCCAGACCTAGGAAATTAAAATCTGGGGACCCAAGGATCTATAGTTTGAACAAATTTCTCAATTTATGCCCCATTAGAGAAATAAATTTGAAAAAGTTTGTGGAAAATGGAATTAGAAAAAGGTCATTTCATTTTCTCCTTGAATTTTTTGAAGCCCCTTCAAGTTTGAGAATCACTTGCTTCCCTCTTGGATTTTCTAACTTGGAGTGGAAATCGTTCTTTCCATTCACCTCCTCCTGAGCATGACCACATATCTCAGAGAAGAAACCATCTAGTGACTCATCTCACCATAGAGCGCGTGGGCCTCCAGAAGCATAGAGACCAGACCCAGCTCCAGGTGTGCCGCCACCACGTGGAGGTTGGTGAGGAACTTCGCAAGAAGGCCACGATTCCTGCTCCGGAGCTGGGAAGAGTCCGAACAGATTTGTTAGGGATGTTAAGAGGCTGGTGAGGAGGGGCAGTGTCTTAGGTCTTGCCTGTGCAGCTGGGACTGAGAGCCAGGAGCTAGGACAGAGGATCTGAAGGAGAGCAGGACAACTGGAAGGAGAGGCACAGGGAGCTTGGGAGGTGGGACATGGCAGTGGTGATAGTGGTGATGGCAAGGTGATTGCAGAATATCCAAAGCAGTGGTTGGAGAAAGGTGTCAGAAGGTTTGGGGACTCACCAGATGGTGAGGCAGGTCTCCCAGAGCCTCAGGTGGGCAACTTCGGAAGGTACCTGAGGCATCAGGGTCACACGTCTTCCAGAGTTGAGCTGCAGGTGAATCACAGAACAGACAGTGAGATGGGCCCAGACCTGCAGCATTTCCTAGACCACATCCCCTGGGTCAAGAGCAAGATTCAACCACCCACTAGGGTGGCAGGTGAGGGGTCCAGCCAGTGGAGAACACCTGTGGGCTTCCTGCCTGCCAGGCCGGAGCCTCTTACTCAGGGTCCCAGCTGACTTTGGCTGCAATCACCTGCAATGAGGGTGTGTGCTGTGCTCTCCAGGCCTGGCCTCCTCCCATATCGACGTCTAGCTGCTGTTCTCAGGGGCCCGTCAGGGAGGCAGAGTCGGGCACCAAGGCGCTCCAGAGGGCCCTCCCCTAGCAAACTGTCCTCATGTGAGGAAGAAGAGGAGAAGAAGGAGGTCTGTCAAGGAGCCACCTGGCACAGATGCAGGCTCTCATTCACACTTCAAATAGTGGGTCTGGGAGACAGGTGATGGGGCAACACTGAGGGAAGCAGGAGATGAAAAGGGGATCATCACCCAGGGCCCTGGACAAAGATGGGAAGGCACAGTAAGGTCCGTGGGGAGCTCAGCTGGGGGAACCTGTACCTTCGCAGACTCTGGACAAGGTAGACAAATGCGCCCATGGGATAAAGGTCCCCACTGTTACTAGCAGCCACTGCTTCTTCCCAGGTCTGGCTCTCCCTGGGCAGTACCCGCCATGCACTCAGCACTCCATGCAGCTGGTCCATGGTCAGACCTGAAAACCCAAACTCTCTGAGGCCCCTTGGGGCAACGAATCCTCTTTGTCCCATTAACTAAGGCCCCAAATGAACCAAGGTCATCCAACCCCCAAGCCCTCAGCCTCTCAATCCACCCCCAGTACTGACCACTACGTGTGACCTCAAGGGTGGCCAAGGCTTGAGGAAGGACATCAGGGCCGTGCTCTTGCTCCAGCATGTTCAGAATGTGCTGCAGCAGCAGGGGGACAGTGGCAGGCAGCATCCGGAGTCTCTCAGACACCTGAGGGAGAAAGGAGATTGGGCTGAGCAGGGGCCAGGGGGACAGCTTTGGCTAAAGGTCGGGTGAAAAGGGGCAGAATGAGAAATGGTAGGGAAGAGTGAAAAATAAAAAGAGAAACAGGTTGGAGAGAGATGAGGATGGAGGAATGGATGATTAAACGATGGTAGGGGTTGGGGATCACAATGGATGATGGGATGAAGTAAGGAGAGGAAGAAGCTGAATGGACAATGGGAAGTGGGATTAGGGTTTAGAGGATGAGGGATCAGGAGTGTGGGGCTGCACCCTAACTCACCTGCTCATAAAGTGTGAAGAGCCTCAGGTGATCTGTGACCAAGCGCAGGTAGAGCGGCAGGGCTGACCCCCGCTTCACCAGCAGCAGCTGCATCTGATGAGACACACACACACTTAGTACCTGCCAATAGCCGGAACCCTTGCCTGCCTGCCTGCCTACCCTCCACTCCAGCACCAAGCCGAATGCCAGGTAGCTTCTCCAATGATAACAGCAGCACCTCAGGACAGAGGTCTTTCTCTCCCCACAATGCTTTGCTCTGTGAGCCCACTGCAGGTATCCCCTCATGGTTCAGCCTCCCCTCACCTGGGGAGGCACTGGAGAGACCATACACCAGGGAGGAAAGGGTGGGATACTGTATAAGCAAGTATAGTTATCCTACTAATGACTTTTCTGGGAAAACAAAGGAGCAGGTCTATGAGAGTAGCTGGCAGCCTTGGCATCCCTGGGTCCTCACAGCTCCTAGATTCACCCCCACCCCCACCTGCCCTGGCCGAGATCCAACCTGATTGTTAAAATGCGACTCCTCCAGACGTTTTCCGTACAGAGCCAGCTCTTCTCTCACCATCTGAGTCCGGGCAGACAGCTCCAGGGGCCCCAGGGCTACCACATGGGCATCTTGGCTCTGCTCCAGGGTCTCCCCTAGGCCTGTGTCACTAGACACACTCAGCACCAAGTGTACCCTCTGTGATATTTGGGCATAGGGAAAGGAGATACAAGGAAAAGGAGAACAGAGTTGTAGCGGTTCCTCTCCACAACCTTCCTCCCTCCCTGACCTTTTTTGTCAGACTTACCCGGGGTAGGGACTTTGGGATCCAGTCTGAGATCAGCTGTCCTTTCTGGTCCATGAGCCTGTCAGCTCCATCGATGATCAGCACCAGATTCTGACCAGGGTGCAGGGACTGAGCAGACTTGGGCAGCAATCTCTGCTGCAATTCCCATACCAGGCCTCTATAAGTGGTGGGGGGGTGGGAAGGCCAGGGGCAGGATCAGAGGGACACACAGGGGTGATGTCATGTGGCACCAACAAGGCTGGGCTAATGGAGAGACACATACCGGTAGGTGTTGGGGAGGGCACTCTGCTCTTGCAGATGGCTATGCAGATAGGTACAGAGGCGTCGGAGTAGTGTGAGAGCAAGACGCTGGTCAGGGCGAGCACCTGAGAAGTGGAAGAAGACTAAGGGGGCCACTCTGGTCCTATCAGGAGCCTGCAAGGTTGACACAAGGGATGCCTGCATGGGATGGAAACAGAAAGTGTGGTCACATTTGAAATACACAAGTTCTCTGTGTCCCCTCTTCCCTCCTCCTCAGGCCCCTGAGGCTCTGTACCAGGAAGGCGGTCTTGCCCTGTCCAGACTGCCCGATCACCAGACTGAGCCTCCCCCAGCGCTGCATCAACTGCTTCACTGTGTCCTGAAGAAGGCGTGGTCGGGCAGGACTAGGGGGGCTCTGCAGCTGCTGGAAGATGGCCTGGACCGAGTCATCATCTGGAGTGGAAACTGACGGTTCCAGCTGGGACCCGGGCTGAGGGCACATGGGGCAGTGAATACCATGTCTCCATGCTCCAGGCTTAAACTCACAGAGACCCCAGCAAGCTACCTCCCCACTCAGGACTATCCAGACCACCCTGAGTCTCCCCACCCCCTGGTTCCAGCACTCCTGCTGACCTGTAGATAAAGCTTCTGGATCAGATTCCACACATCCTGCAGAACTAACTTCCCAAACTCCTCCAGTCCCCCTACATAGGGCCGGCCGGCTGCCACAGCCCCCCACTTGCAGGGGTACCTGTGGGTCAAGCAAGGACACCAAAAGTCAGAGCAGGCCTGGTTCTCCTGCAACAACCATGTACAGGTGCTCTACCTCCCCCAGCTCACCTGCGGCAGGTAAGCTCTTTCTGTTTGCTCAGGTAGCTCTTCAGTTCTGTGAGCCGATGTGCAGCCTCTTTGGACTCAGGAATAAAGTCAGATTTCCAGGTATCTGGCACAGAACTGACCCCAACAACAAAGCCAGATTGAGAACCCAGACTTCCACCACCCTGCAGGCTGTGATCCGCTTAAACTCATCCTCATGAGATCCTCCGACTTCAACTCTAAGGCTGAATAGAGGCTGCAAAGGCAAGCTCTCTGAGCCCGGTTTCTCTCTTCTTTTCCCTACTCCTAGACCCTGAATGTTGGGGAGACAAAACATGGCTGCCAAGCCTGTCTAGCCTATGGAGACTGGCCCTGTAAACAATCATGGGGGGTGGGGGCGGCGCAGTACCTGAGGAAGCTGGAATCACGGAAGTAGATGAGAGCTGGGGCAGGGGTCTGGAGGCGGGGGCCTCGGTTCAGGAATTGCATCACCTCCATCTCCGTCACGGAGCGGCCAGTTGGGTACTGGCTGGCCTGCAGAGAGAGGGCAGATGACAGGCAGTGTTCAGCTCTAGCCCTGGACATTAACCTCTGCCTAGTTCTCTAGGCTCCTTCATCTCCATAATGGTCCTCCCCTCCTCCAGACACAAGCCAATTTAAAATATAGCTAATTGCTAACAGTAAATGCATGTGCCAGGCACTTTTAATAGATTATTTTAAATAATCTTAAATCACCCAATAGCTCTACAATACAGATGTCATTTCTATATGAGAAAATTAAGGCTAGGTTAAGTCAAGCAGCCACACAATATGAAAATGATAGAAGGGTGCTCAGAACCAGCAGACCAACCCTCTTACCCCTTGCATTCCTTGCTAATTCCAGAGGTACTTCTCAAAAGAATTCCCTCATCTAGGACTTAACCATTCACAGACTCTGCTTTTGTTCACTTCAAGTCTCAAGGAGGTAGCTGTGGATAGTTCCAGGGTTCCTGCCAAACCGTGGCTTCTCCTCAGCCCTACCCCAACCTTTGTCACCTCCCAGACCCTGCTCCAAGCTCATCTGCCTTACCCAGTGGAAGTGAGGATGGTCAGGGAGGCTGTAGTTGGGAGGAATGTAGCCATAGCGGGAGCCCAGAATCCCCAAGAACAGCTGTGAGTTCTCCACCTCTCCGAGGCACACTTCCAGTTGTCTGTGGGCATAGTTATGGGGCTATGCAGCAGTCATGATATCAGGGAATATAGGAAAGATTTGGGAGATAGGAGGACCCACTTGACTTACAACTGAGCAAAATGCAAGCAGACTGCTTTTGTTAGCATCCAAGGGCAACTCACTTCCCTGGCCTTCATTCATTCCTGCAGCCCCAACCCTACCCCACCTCAGTTCTATCACTCAAGGCCCTCAGCCCTGGCCCAGACCCAGGCCCATATCTCTGCGGCCCCACACCTGTTCGTCCGGGTCTCCTCCTCAGTGACACCCCAGCGCAGGTCGATGGCGTGAAGACTGATATGGTGGGGAGCTGCTCGGGCCTGCAAGGCTGGCAGCACTACTCTTAGCAGCAAGTCCCGCTCCCCATGCATGTCCCGGAAAGTGGAGGAAATGAAAAGGCGAATGCTGCGCCATCTGGGGGTGAGCAGAGGGCTGGGCTCAGCCTAGGGATTAACCCACCACCCCAATTTCAGACTGCTATGGATCAAACTTCAGCTAAGCATGAGCCAGCAAAAGTCAACAGGCCCCCAGAGAATTAACGTGCTGGTAGCATGGTGGAAGTGCAGGATAAGCACTGGACTGTGAAGCACAAGGTTGGTGGTTTGAGCCCACCAACTGCTCTGCAGGGGAAAGATGAGGCATTTTGCTCTGGCCAAGAAACCTTATGCAGGGTTGCTATGAGTCAGAACTGACTTAATGACACTTAACAACAAAACAGCCTCAATGGCAGAGCCCTAGAGCTGAAACCCCACTTGCCACACTTCTCATGTTCCTACATGCTTATGACAACCAGGTGAAATTAAGTGTAATCATTATCCTCATTTTACTGATTGGTAAATTGCAACCTTTAAGCAATTAAGCAATGAGCCCAATGTGGTGGTTACTGGTTGCCAGTAAGTTGATTCCAACTCATGGAGACCCCATGTGTGTCAGAGTAGAACTGCACTCCAAAGGGTTTCCAAGGCCAAGGCTGTGACCTTTCGGAAGAAGATCACCAGCCCTGGCTTCAGAGGTGCCTCTACGTGGGTTCCAACCACCAACCTTTCGGCTAATATCTTGCACTATCCCAGGGACATAGCTCAAGGTACAAGTTACTATTTGGCAAACCAGAGTGGGAAAGCCATAAACTATGCTCCTATGCCCTCTGCTCATGCCCTGGCTGTCTGTCTACAGTGCCTGTTGCCTTCCCCACCTTCTAAGCTCCCTAATGGAGAAAGGGGTGAGTTCACAATCTGAGTTTCCTGTGTTAGAGAAGCCCTGCCTGGGAAAGACGAGGCAGCACAGCACAGCTCAGAGAACAGAACCAACAACATCTCCACAGTCAAAGTTTCAGTCATTAGAGTTTCTCCATGTTTCGACTGTAGCACCTCACAATTCACAAAAGCATAGAAGACACACTAACCGGTGCTGTGAAATTGGAGCCAAGGGGCTCGGGGTATTCTCTTCCAGTGGCCTGAGAGACAAGAGCCCTGTCTTTCCTGCGGGTGGTGGGATCTTGAATATTTTGTCCATTTGGCCCACATGTTCGAGAAGACGGGACGCCCCACGCTCTGCAATGAATCTAACATAAATAATAACAAAATGAGGGAGAGCAGAATACTAGAGGTCAGAAACAGAGGAAGAGACAGACAAAAAAAATAGGGCTAGGGTGGGTCACCCAGTTAACTGGGACTCCTTAAGAAAATGACCACAGCAGTGAACATAGGCTTAAAGTAAATAGGAGAGAACAAAACTCAGTTCCAGTCCCCTCCTGCTATGCATGATTATCAAAGGCAACTGAGTGAGGGAAAGTTATAAAGATGAAGGTTCCAGTTTGGGCTTGATCAGCTCTGCACTAGTCATGAAAGTTCCCTAGAGGAAAAAGAAAATGTATTTGGCTTCCTAACAGGAACTGGGAACAGATGACATCCAGAGGAAAAGACAGAAGAAAGAAAGAGCAAGTAAATGAGAAGACTAAATATATATATAAGGAGCTCTGGTAGCGTAGTGGTTACGACTCGGGCTGTGAACCGCAAGGTCAGCAGTTCGAAACTACCAGCTGCTCCGCGGGAGAAAGATGAGGCTTTCTACTCCCGTAAAGATTTACACCCTTGGAAACCTTGTACAGGGTCGCTATGAGTCGGTTCCGACTCCACGGCATATAACAACAACAACAAATATATATATATATATATAGATAGATAGATATAGATATATACATACATACAGATATCTAGATAGATAGATAGATGTATATATAGAGAAAGAGACAGAGAGAGAGTAAAAATACATATATATATATAGAGAGAGAGAGTGAGAGAGAGAGAGAGAAAGATTTCTGCAATCCTCTTAAATCAATAATGGATCACAGGCAACAGAGAGTGAATAAAATAACATTTAAGGTTGATCATACAATTTAAAAGTAAACTACAATCTCCCATATCCTCTTTTCCTCTTTCCTACAGGATGTAATACATACATGATGGCTGGAGCTAGAGCAGCCACCTTGAACTGTGAGGTAGAAAGTGAGGATTTGAGGATAGTGAAATGATAAGATAGAAGGTATCTGTGTCCCTGTAACATTTGGAGCTTCTTTACCTGGACAGGCGTAGGAGAGGAATAAAATTCTATCTTGCTTTTTAAAAAAAGTGAGTGGAGTATATTACCACAGATAATATCTGAAAGACATTCTACAAAGCCCCCAAACCCTTGTCATATACTCACTTCAGTAACCCATCAGTACAGCCTGAGAGTGTCACATCACTGGGGTTCACATTTGGTAATCTGACAAAGTAACAAGTAGTCATTAACCATCACAAGCAATACCAGGAACACAAAGTCAGTATCGCCTAACAATGATGTAAACCCCCTGCTGCTGTGCTTTTAATAGGGTTATGTGCTGGGCTGGAGTGGACCCTCACAATGGGCTAGGCTGAAGACTTCAAAGAAGGTTCTAGCACCAAAATGCAACCAAGGTAGGCAGGCAAAGGCGGGCAGTGCTTGGAGAGAGATGGTGTTCGAAACTTGGGAAGAGGTGGAAGACCCTTCTGGCACAGGTAAGGGATTGTAAGCATTCTTACGTGTAAGGTATCCTTTGAAGGAGAACACCAACAAAGAGGCACTTGGGATTCACATGTTGCCAGAAAATCTCTTTAGCTGCATTCATCATTTTCTGCTTCATAGCTTGGCCAAAGAGTATGACCCTGTCCACCTGGGCGAGTAAAGGGGAAGAACTGAAACCAGGGGCCAAAGGAATCGAGGGCACTAAAGATTTCAGGATCTCAAGAGAAGAGATCTCTGATTAGAGAGACAGGAAAACTTTGAGAGAGATGGAGACGTGCCTATTTTGAGGGTGGAAGTCTCTAAGTTCCCAGGCTCTTAGGATGAGGAGAGGAAAGCTACTTCCTACGGCTCTGATTTGGGAAGTATGGAGGTGGAGATTGATAGGGGCAGTGGTGTGCTATAATGACAGCAAACTGTTAAATTTTTAGGAATTCTGTGAGTCAATTGTTAGGCATAAAAAAACAAAATAAGCCCTCTGCCACTGAGTTAATTCCAATTCATAGTGACCCTATAGGATGAAGTAGAACTGCTCCTTAGGGTTTCCAAGACTATATGCATTTTTATAGGCGCAGACACAGCTGGTGGGTTTGAACTGCTGACCTTGTGGTTCGCAGCCCAACACTTAGCACACTGAACCACCAGGGCTCCTTGTAATTAAGCATAGCCATTATTCAACATTAAACGATATTAATAATTAATAAATTATATAAAAAACAAAAATAATAAATATTCAAAAGTCATCCCTTTCTATTTTGTTATTATCTACTCCTGGTGTGATGCTGTAAAGTAAGCACTGGACTGCTAACTGCAGGTTGGTGGTTCAAACCCACCAGCCGCTCCTCAGAAACCCTATACAGGGTCACTAGGGGTTGGAACCCACTCAATAGCACTTAACAAACAACTTCTGGTGTGGTGCTGTAGGATGAGCACTGGACTACTAACCACAAGGTTGACAGTTCAAACCCACCCGTCACTCATAGGAAACCCTATATGGAATCACTATGAGTTGGAATCAACAATGATCTACTTTTCAGTTCATTTGCATCTACATATCTGATTGGTGGAAATGCTACGTATTGGTGTACTGCTGAACATCTCTTTGAAACTGTGTAGTAACCTCAAGTGAACAGCTGGGAATTACCTTTAGTAGAATTCCTTACACCATGGAATTAGGAACAGCTACTAATCAAGATTTATTTTCCTGGAGAACTGGCTGTTCCACATTTACCACCATACCACTGGGTAGGGGATTTGTTCTGGGTGGTCAAGAAATACGATTCATCAATTATTGAGGAAAATGTGAGGAGGAGAAGTTTCCTCAGGGCTGGGCAGTACTCACAGGGACTCTTTGGACAGCCAGAGACATCAGGTACTTCCCAACAGTTCTCATAGACCATCCATGTTCCTCCTTTTCATTCAACTCCTGAAGGAAAGGCTCAGGTTATGTGGTTGGAAGGCATGAAATGATTAGTAAGTAATAAACACCAGTCTGTTCAGGAAGTCTTTGAAACTGTGTATAGTCATGTCTTTATTGAATATTAAGATTTTCCCAGGCTGGTGTCTAATCAAATTTCTTTTTTTTTGATGACAGGCATTAATATCTGACCTGAACTTGAGCCTGGAGCTCTGTAGCCAACTTCAAGATGCCTTCCTCTGCTTTAAGTACAACCGTCTTCAGATTGCCTTTTCCACATAACAAGAGATCCGCCTGCTCAGCCCGAGCAATCATCATTGCAAGCAACAGCAGCACATAGTTCAAGGGGTGCTGGATGGACAAACATTGGGGTGAAATAGGTTGTTGCCTTGATTTGAAATCTACCTTTACATTCCCAGTCCTGGAGGCCAAACAGCTCGTTAATGGGAGAAAGGTGGAAGGAGAAGACAGCTTCAGCAGCCCTGAGGAACAGTTGCCTTGGGGCTAAAGGAATCGGGACTCTCACCCTAAGTTAACACTGGGATGGAATGAGGTGACAGTGAGACATACTTTGGTGACAGAAATTTAGAAACCATTAAGAACCAGCCAACTGCATAATGTTCATTTTGAAATCCATCAACAGGGTTGGAGGACACATTTTAGGAACTGTTCCTAGGAACCAGGGACTGACGCTGGGAGGCAAATTCACATTATCTTGCTCAGTTCTGAGTGCCTATTAGCTGGGGTCCCCAGCACCAAACAACCCTTCTTTAAAAAAAAAAAAAAATATATATATATATATATATATATACATATATATATATTTTTAGCATTTACCTCTTGTGAGTTGCCCTTTGGACAGCATTGGTCTACATCTGTCAGGCAGATCAGAAGGGTGCGGCCTGGCAACGGAGGCAAGTTGTGCTGCACAGACAGCTTCACAGCTGTCTCCAGGGCCTGCCGGTACCGATCCAGTATCTCCTCATCACATTTCCACTGTCTGCAGGCAAGAAAGACACAAGGCGTTCAGGAGTTCATCTGCCTGCCACTTTGAGGAAGATGAGAAATTGCCATTTAATTCCTGAGGTCCCTCCCTCCCTCAAGCACTACCACCTCTTTCCATAGCAAACCCCATTGCTGGTACAGAAGACTGCGGCATAGCTTCCTTTTGTTTCCATCTTACAAGACTCTTCTAATCCATTCTCATGGCAGGAGAGACATTATCTGTAGACCCATTCTCTGCCATGGTTACTGCATTAATCCTTAACTTAATTTATAAGGTAGATTTTTACTGCTATGTATTTTTAAATTGCATTTTAAATACTAACCCCTCACTCTGAAAACTGGAAATCAAAGGAAAACCAATTGCACATTGATCCTACCTTTCCTGAACAAACTCTATTACAAGGTAACAAAATAACTTCAGTAGTGAGAGAAGTTCTTTGTAGAATTCCAGCTAATAATATGAAGGAATGGTTGAAAACCTCCCTTCTGCAACCACTACTGAAGCAACTGGTTCTGGCAAAGATCATCAGTGAATCAACTTTGCAGTGGAGAGATCAAGCTGTCAAATCCAATGATCACTCGTAACATATAGGATCTCTCCACTCCGGCGTGTATCCTATCTATCAGGCTTTTAGAGTCTTGGTATGGCACTGTAGGATACACACTGGACTACTAAGCACAAGGTTGACAGTTTAAACCCACCAGCTGCTCCTTGGAAATCCTATACAGGGTCATTATTAGAACCACTTGACAGCACTTAACCAGACTTTTGGGACCTCCTAGTCCTGGTGTGGCACTATAAGATAAGCACTAGACCACAAGGTTGGTTTAAACCACAAGGTCGGCAGTTCAAACCCACCAGTCACTCCTTGGAAACCCTACAGAGGATTGCTAAGAGTCAGAACCAAGCTGACTGCACTTAACAACAACAACAGAATACTCTGTAAGGTACACAGGAGCCCTAGTGATGCTATAGGATAAGCAATGGACTGTTCACTGCAAGGTCAGTAGTTCAAACCCACCAGTTGCATAATGGGAGAAAGATAAGGTTTTCTGTTCCTATAAAGTACAGCCAGAATACTCCTTAGAAGCCAGGATGGCCAGACTTCATCTCTCAGACTTTGTACATGTTATCAGGAGGGACCAGTCCTGGGGAAGGACATCATGCTTGATAAAGTGGATGGTCAGTGAAGAAGACAATGATCCCCAAAGAGATTAATTGGCACAGTGCCAGCAGCAATGGGCTCAAGCATAGCAATGATTATGAGAATGGCAGAGGACCGAGCAGTGTTTCATTCTGTTGTATATAATAAAGTCATTATGAGTGGGAAACAACTCAATGGCACCTAACAACAACAATAACATTTGTTGTTGTTGTTAAGTACCGTGGAGTCGGTTCCGACTCATAGTGACCCTATACAGGGTTTCCAAGGCTATAAATCTTTACGGGAGCAGAAAGCCTCATCTTTCTCCCGTGGAACCACTGGTAGTTTCGAACTGCCGACCTTGCGGTTAGCAGCCCGATTCATAACTACTGAGCTACCAGAGCTCCTTTATAGCCTTGGAAATCCTATATAGGGTTGCTGTGAATCAGAATTGATTTCATGGTATAATGGCTTTGGTTTCTGTTTTTTATAAGGTACACAGGATCACCTATGAGATTCTTGCAAAGAAAAAAAAAAAGTTAAACCCGTGTCTATTCAAGCCTTTAGAGCTAATGTCCATAGTACATGAAAAGCAAGTTAAACGATGCCATGAGACAGTAATTAAGGTCAGAATGAGGGACCTCTACCAGGCATTCTGAACCTGGCTTCACAGCAAATCATGAGCATGAAAACAAAAGGTAAAGAGATCTAAGAGACTTAATCAAATGCACTGTGTAGACCTTGTCAGATTCTCATTTGAGCAAAGCTGTGAAAAGATTTTTTTTTAGATAATTAGAAAATTTGAATAAAGATTATTTTCAGTTTTGTTAGGTCATTAGTTACCTATTAATATGACATCCTAATTATGTAAGAAATACTAATGATGACATTCTAAAAATGTAAGGAAAATCTGGTTTTTAAGAGACACAAGCAAGATGTGGTGGCGGTGGTGGGTGGGTGCCATCGAGTCAGTTCTAATGCAGTGACTCTTTATAGGGTTTTGGAGGCTGTAAATCTTTACGGAGAAAAAAGCCTTACCTTCCTCCTAAAGAGTGACTGGGGCTTCGAACTACTGACCTTACAGTTAGCAGCCCAGCTATTATCTATTATGGGCTTCTTCATGCCAGGTACAAATAATAAACATAAATAAATAATATGTATGATAAAATTAAATAAAATGAATTATATTAGGTGGCATTTCTTTTTAAAACATTCCCAGAGAAAGAAAAAGAAAAAAAAATGGATCAATAAAGGAAATGTGGTAAAATCCAGATAATCATTTCATCTGGGTAATAGTTTTATGGGATTTCATTACACTATTCTCATTACTTAGACACATACTATATTTTGTCATATATTTTTTTTTATCAAAAGAATTCAGTGGTCTCCACCAGTGCTGTTGAATAGGATTAAATTACAATTATATTAAACTTACACATTTAATTTAAAAATTTGTTAGAAAAAAAATTTTTTTAGAAGCTGCATTAAAAAAATAAAAAGGAGCAGATGAGATTAAGTTAATTACATTTTATTTCATGCTGGAGGAAAACGTCGATTTGAACTGCATGGCTGGTGGTTCAAGACTCACCAGTTGCTCCTCGGAAACCCTATATAGGATCACTGTGAGTTGAAACTGACTTGACAGCACTTAACAAAAACAACAACATGCATAAAATATTTTCACTTCAATATATAATTAATACAAAAATTGAGACATTTTACAGAATTTTTTTCATATAGTCTTCAAACTCCAGTGTGTCTCAATTCAGACTAGCCACATTTCAAGTGCTCAGTAGTCACATGTGGCTAGTGGCTACCATCATGGTCAGTAAAGAAATATCATTTGGACTGGTACCCTGAGCTGAACTCTTTAATAGCCCTGTGTTCACAGCCATTGATTCTTGGCCACTTAAGTCTTAAGGAGCTCTGGCAGCGTAGTGGTTACAAATCGGGCTGCGAACCACAAAGTCAGCAGTTTGAAACTACCAGCTGCTCTGTGGGAGAAAGATGAGGCTTTCTGCTCCTGTAAAGATTTACAGCTTAGGAAATCCTGTTCAGGGTCGCTATGGGTCAGAACCAACTCCACGGCACATAACCACCAACCACCACTATAGAGAAATAAAACATGTCTCTGTCTTTTGAGAGCAACAGAATGCAAGGTATTGTTGAAGCACCTAAAAGAGCAGAAATGTGAACTTGACGAAGCCTGTGGAACAGGTTGTACGTTTGTCTTTGAGCCTGCTTAATGACAACTATCTTCATGTATGTGAAGAGAAGGTAAATGTATCAGAAAATACAAGAACTAAAACAAACAGAAGTCACAGTGAAGAAAAAGACAACAGTAAACCCAGAGAGGACACTAGCCTGAACCATGAACCGAGAGAGGGAGATGATAGACTAATTCCATAAGCACGCACACATATAAACAAAAACCCAAACTCATGCTGTCAGATTGACTTTAACTCCTGGAGACCCCTATGTGTCACAGAGTACAACTGCTCCATTGGGTTTTCTTGGCTATAATCTTTAGGGAAGCAGACCACCAAACCTTTCTTCGGTCATGCCACTGGGTGAGTTCGAACTGCCAACCCTTACGTTGATAGACTAATATAGACCATTTGTACTACCCAGGGACCTCTCCCAAATCACCAAAACCAATAAACAGTCACAGGTATAGAAACCAAGCATGTATTTTGCTTCATAATCTCTCCATGTTGTTGTTGTTGTTAAGTGCCTTCAAGTTGGTTCTGACCCATAGCGACTCTATATAGGGTTTCCAAGGAGCAGCTGGTGAGCTTGAACCACCGACCTTGCAGTTCAGACAGCTTTAGCTGGCGAATTAGCCCACAGCGCCACAACAGGACTCCAATCTGTCCAAAGGGCAATGTTAAAGAAAGGTTTGCTATGCCACAGACAAAGTCAGGCAAGTCTAAGGCACTGGGGTCACTGACAAGCTTGTCTTTACAGAATAGCATTTGGGGTTCTGAGATCATTCCCAATTCCTACCAGGGTGCTTCTTATAGCCCACCCTTGGCTCCTGGGTGGCACACAAACCTGGCTTTCTGTACTTTTATCTTCTCCCGCTTGAGCTGCTCATACATCACAGGTATCACCATGGCTCTGCGAAGGTCCCGACGACTTAGGTTGCCAAGCCGCCTCTGAATGGCACTCTTACTGGCACTTCTTGAGTTTCTAATAATTATCCGCTTCATCAGTTGTATGTTGGAGGGAAATGGTAATGCTGTGTGGCAACAGGTAATGAATTATCTGAGTCAGGCAGTTTCTAGTCCCTCATCTTGTGGTCCTATCAATATCTATTTAGAGCCCCCACACTTGAGGCTGGCATGTGTCCAACCTCTGCCAACCTCGGGTTCCAAGATTGGAAGGCAAGCAGCTGAAAATGCCAGCACTGTTGTTTCATTTGTTCAAAGACATGACAAGATTTGTAAGAAGGGAGATAATACCTTGATTTCTGATTTGCGCTTCAATACTATTGATGGAATCGTAGGCGTTAAGAAATCTGAATGGAAACTGTCGACTGTGGATCACAGATTTCTGGAAAGCAAGGGAGGGGTCATGAGGGGAGAACCAGGAAGTCTGAGGGCCATCAGGAAGATGAGGTAACCATTCTGCTAAATTTGTGGAAACATGAGAAAGGACTAAGTGGATATTAGAAAAAGGCAGAAAATAATTTGAAAAACAGGAACGTTGTCATTTGAGAATATGAAAAAAAAAAGAAGGGATTCCTGTTTCTTTATCTTTTATAGTCCTCTGAAGTCAGTTAAATCAGAGATTCCTCTTCCTGGGTAAGTCTCTGACCTCAGAAAATAGAAATCCAAGTTCTTTTATTCCACTGTAGTTTTTCAGAGTTCATTACACCCCCATACCAATTTCCCCCAGCCCAATCTGTCTGTATCTCCATGCCTGTTTATTGCCCACATGAAAAAAGTTGGGTGGCCATGACTCTCCCCACCCACCTGGGAATGTCTAACTTCCAAACCAACTGTAGAATCTCCACATCCACCTTAGGCACTGGGCCACATGGCCACAAGCCCCTCACATACCGCATGCTGGAGTCGCTGAAGAATGATCTCGTGGTGTTGGGCACTGATTCCAACTCGAAGCAGGTTGCGTAGATTCCGCAGCATGGCCATGAAGGGAAGCTTCCCATTGTCTGAATGAGGTCAATGTGAAAGGAAACAAGATCCATTCATGTGAAAACATAAGCACCTTCTATAGTTAAAAGAAACAATAAAAGATGAAAAGATCAAAGGGAACTTATTCCTCCCCAATTGATTTAAAAAAAAAAACCAGTGTCCCAAATATAGGTTTCCGCAACAATTCCTATATACTATGATGTGCGTTGTTGTCATTAAGTGCCATCTAGTTGGTTCTGACTTGTAGCAACCCTGTATAGGGTTTCTAAAGAGTAGCCAATGAATTTGAACTACCGACCATGTGGTTCAAACCGACCTTTCGGTCCAAGGCTTTATTCCACAGCGCCACACCAGGACTCCCAAGATGTGCTCTTGCGGCTGTTTAGTGCCGTGGAGTTGGTTCCAACCCATAGTGACCCTACATACAGGGTTTCAGAAGAGCAGCTGATGAGCTTGAACCACCAACTTTGCGATTCAAACTGGCTCTGCAGCCCAGCGCATTAACCCACAGCTCTGCACCAGGATTCCTTATATGGAATGAGTTGTACAGATATTGATACAATGATATCATAGAGAAGGGATCATTTTTATCATGTGTTGATAAAAGCCTGATGTGTCACTTTACTGCATTTGGAATACTGACAATCATTAAGCACTTGGCTGTTAATCACCCAGAGGTTCTGGTGATCTGCTTCAATATAGATTAAAGCCTAGAAAACCGTACTCTGTCGCATGGGGTTGCTATGAGTTGAAATCAACTTGACGGCCCCTAACAACAATATAATGCCAACACTACTCATAACAGGCACTACTGACCCCTTTGAAAGTGTATGGTCAATGGCAGATCATATCAAGTCAACCATTTTCAGTAGTGCAACAACCAAGTGAATGGATGATGTACATACCAAGGAACTTGCTTAAGGAGCCCTGGTTGTTATGTGCCGTGGAGTCGGTTCAGACTCACAGTGACCCTGCACAGGGTTTCTGAGGCTGTAAATCTTTACAGGAGCAGAAAGCCTCATCTTTCTCCCGCGGCACAGCTGGTAGTTTCAAACTGCTGACTGTGAGATTAGCAGACCGATTCGTAACCACTACGCTACCAGAGCCCTGGTAGTGGGTTACAAGTTGGGCTGCTAACCACAAGTTCAGCAGTTTGAATATACTAGCCACTCTGTGAGTGAAAGATGAGACTTTCTGCTCCTGTAAAGATTTTCAGATTCGGAAACCCTATGGGTCACTATGAGTAGAAACCGACTCCACATAATCATCACCACCAAGGTATGTGACATGAATGGGGAAGAGAAGAAGGGAGTGTGACGGTCAAGGTCACCTTACCGATGAGCTCCTCCCAAACTGAAGCTTTGTTCCCCCTTAGGCTCAACTCTCGATCCCAGGTCATGGGCTGAGAGAGTTTCATTCGCTTCCCAGCTCTGCTGGAATCCCATGGCCCAGGGAGTCGACTTTGAGAAAAACGTTGTATGTTGGAGGGATATCTGGGACAGAGGAAAAAGTGTTCATCATTTTAAAGTCAGCTGAAATAACACAGAAGAGAAAAGGTAAGTTAATCAAAGCACTCAGTCAGGTTTAAAGGCCACATCTGCCCAAGCTAATAATTGTTGCTGGGTTGGCAATTGCAGGGACTGAGGCCATGGATGCTGGAAAGTTATGGGGTTGAATGTTCAGGATAGACGTTCTTACCGGTAGCCCAGCAGAGCTTGGACATGCTGAGCAGGTTCCCGGATATGCAATCGCTGTACTAGCTTCTTCAAGGTGAACCTTGGCTGGTCCTTTTTCTCTGACACTGCATTGTAGGCTGCCTCAAACTGTAGAAACAGCCCGAAGTTCTACAGGGCTCATTTCAGCCATGAGCACACTTTCTTCAGAAAACAGAGTCTGAAACTACCCTCTACCTATGAGTTAATGTTTTTCTCCAAAACAGATTTGAGCAGAGTAGAATTAGGGTAAAAATTTCAGACCACAACACAAGATAGCAATTCTTTGGGGTCACTGGGTTTTATTTACACATGGGGGTAATAGGAGATGATTGGCTTGTGGAAAGCAAGATGGGAATAGAATGAACAAAGAACATCCTTGTTCTTCTTGTTGCTAAGAGCAACAACACTTAAGAACAGCAACAACTGAGTCTTAGGGTTTCCTAAGGAGCAACTGGTGAGTTTGAACCGCCAACCTTATGGTTCAAACCGACCTTGTAATCCAGTGCTTTATCCCACAGCGCCATACCAGGACACCATTCTTGTTCTTGGTGATGGTGGTGTGCCATGGAGTCGGTTCCGACTCATAGTAACCCTACATAGAGTTTCCAAGGCTGTAAATCTTTATGAGAACAGAAAGCCTCATTTTTTTCCCCCGTGAAATGACTGGTAGTTTCAAACTGCTGACCTTGAGGTTAGCTGCCTGATTTGTAACAACTATGCTATCTGAGCTCCTTGTTCTTTTTGTTAAGTACCGTGGAGTCAGCTCCCACTCATAGTGACCCTGCACTGGGTTTCCGAGGCTGTAAATCTTTATGGGAGCAGAATGCCTCATCTTTCTCCCATGGAACCACTGGTAGTTTTGAACTGCTGACCTTGAAGTTGGCAGCCCGACTCGTAACCACTACGCTACCAGAGCTCCTTGTTCTTAGAGGGAAGGAAAGAAAAACGAAACCCAAACCTAACGTACTGCCATTGAGTCAAATCCAACTCAAGGTAACCCTACAGGGTGGAATCAAACTGCTCTTCACAGGGTTTCTGTGATTGTCATCTTTCCCCTATGGTTAAGCAGTCCAACACTTGACCTGCTGCACCACCAGGGCCCATCACTGAGACTTAGGTAAATGGAGGAATCAGTACAATGTACAGAGTGAGGAGTTAAAATGGAAAGATGTTGGCTTCCAGTCTTCCAAGTTAAAAGGGCTAAATTTGGGATATATTAATATGATAAAGAGAAAAGATCAGTTGACTAACTGAGAATATTTTTAATTTTTAATTTAATTTTAAAAAAAAGTTCTATTGTGAATTAACTGAAGGTTCAAAGAACAAATCAGTTTTCCATTCAACAATTCATACATGTTTTGTTTCATGTCATTGACTGCAGTTCCCACAGTGCCACATCATTCATCCTGTGCTTCCCACTGCCATTCTTCCTCTTTCTCTAACCCTTCTGAACTTTGCCCTTGACTAAATGCTGCCCTTTGGTCTCAAATGAATGATTAATCTAAGTGTGGCGCCCCTTGTAGATCTATTGTTTGATTGAAAATTAAGAAATACGGCTAAGTTCATTGTCAGACGTGAAAGGTGACCAAAAGCCATTAGTCTCAGGGATCTCCTCAGTCTCTATCTGACCAGCAAGCCTGGACTTCTTTGTGGTGTTTTTTCCACATTTTTCTCCTACTCTCTCCAGGGTGTTCTAATGTGATCCCTTTCAGACCAGTGTGTAGTGGTGGCCAAGAATGTGTTTTTTCTTGTAAAGCTAATATCTTTTTCTTAATGATCTAGTTTAATAATTATTATGATCATGATTACTAACACTGTTTAATGTACTGTTAGAAATACATTAAAGTAACTGATTTTATCCTCACAACCAATGAAATAGGTACTGCTATTAACCCCATTTTATTCATGTATGAGGAAACTGAGAAAATAAGTCATTTGATCCTAGTTGTAAACAGTGGAGGTGGGATTGAAACCCAAATGGTCTGAAAACAGATGCTATGCTCTTAACTGCAATTAAAGTAAAATAATTTTGTTTTTAAAACTTCCTATGGGATGTAGAAGGAGCTCTGGTAGCGTAGTGGTTACGAATCGGGCTGCGAACCTTAAGGTCAGCGGTTCGAAACTACCAGCTGCTCCGCGGGAGAAAGATGAGGCTTTCTACTCCCGTAAAGATTTACACCCTCGGAAACCCTATACAGGGTCGCTATGGGTCGGAACCGACTCAAAGGCACATAACAACAACAACATGGGATGTAGAAGAGTCCTGGTGCGGCACTGTAGGATGAGCACTGGACTGCTAATTGCAAGGTCGGCGTTTCAAACCCACCAGCTGCTCCTCGGAAACCCTATACAAAGTCACTATGTGTTGGAACTGATTTGACGGCACTTAACAATAACAATATGGGAGACAGCAGTAAGAGTCTTGAGTGATGTAGTGGTTAAGTGCTCGATTGCTAACTGAAAGGCTGGTGGTTTGAACCTACCAGCCACTCTATGGGAAAAGATACGGCAGTCTGATTTTGTAAAGATTGTTATTATTATTAAGTGCCACCAAGTTGGTTTTGACTCATAGTGATCCTGTACACAGCTTCCAAGGAGCAGCTGCTGAATTTGAACCACCGACCCTGTGGTTCAAACCAATCTTGTATTCCAGAGCTTTAGTCCACAGTGCCACACCAGGACTCTTAGGGAATTCTGTGGGTCAGTTCTACATAGGGTTGCTATGGGTTGGAATCAAATCAAAGGCAATGAGTTTGGCGTGTGTTTGTTTGTATGGTTCATAGTGTGTTAAACTTACTTTATCAGGCTGGACATGCCCCCATCAGTACCAAGGAGAGTAAAATTGAAAAAAAAAAAAGAACCTTCCCATTGCTTTAAGCACCTGACCCTGTGTCATGACTGCAAATCCCCAAGCAATATTGGTTTCTGTGTACCATACCCACCATTAATATTTTTGACATAAATGAAATTCAGTTTCTAAATATTAGTCTAGGAAAAGTTATACATGCACACATATACCCAGAACAAGGGACTCACCTTATTCTGCTCTGCTTTAAAAATCTTAAAGAACCTTGACAAATATCTCTGTGACTTTGAATATGGATTCTTTGACTTCTGTCAAGACAGGAGAAACAGTGTTCAAAGATGGCAATGGAGATTATTCAGAAGGGATCCATTGAAGAGCCACAAAGGCCCATCTCTACCAAAAAGGAAGCCCACTAGGAAACCCAGTTCTTCTCTGAACCCTTTTGATCCCGGTGATAGGAAGATGTCAGTTCTAAAGAATATGGACGCTTAGTGTAGGTGTCCCACATTCTTAGGTCCCTCCCTTCCCAGAAAATGGGGCCACAGCTATGAATGACTGACTGGGATGGAGACTGACTGGATGGCGTGGAGGTCGGCGGGGCCGTTTCTTGGCCCGGTGCTTCCGAGGGTTGTACTTGGCCAGTTGGTATTCATCAAACTGGGCAAATTTATCTGTCATCGCAGCACGCAGGCAGGCAGGCAGGGGCACCAGCTTGCCCTTCTGCTCTTCGGCCAGGCTCTGTCAGACAGAGACACTCTCAGAAGTCAGACCCAAATGAATCCTCCATAACAAAACAAGACTACTTCATGGGGTTAGGTGATCAAGAATAGGGAGCTGGTTCCTAGTCCCAACTCTAAAATTACAGTTTCTATGGTACTGGGCAAATCAGTGCACTTCTCTGATCCTCATTTTCCTCACTGTCAACATGAGGTTTAGAATAAGATAAATTTTTCTCAAACAGCAGTTAAGCCTTCCTCAATCATATTCTGCCTATTGGGCGACATAGTCTGGTACAGGGAGAAGCTGCCCTATCTGGGGGTGGTTGAAGGGAGGGTTATCGGTCTAATTTTCTTTGGGGATGCACTGAGCAAAGAGGGAAGAAAATGAGGGCCACACCTGGTAGAGCTCAGCCACCTGGATCCAATCAGAAGGCAGTTGGATAATGGCACAGAAATACCTTCGTAGGTAGGGGCGACAGGCTGGCAAGAAGGCAGCAATGGCCAAGACTCTGTTGGCCGCATCCCGAATGTTCAACTGCTGCCTGGTGTACAAAGATGCCTAGGACACAGGGTAGGGAGAACTGGCAACTTATATCTCCCATAGTTTTATCCCCTAAATTTACTTGTTCACCTACACCATCTGCATAAAACCTTTCCTAAGTCCTCCCAAGGTGTTTCGCTTGGTATATTCTAAGTCCTCCATAACTCAGGCCTTATCGACCTTCCTAACGTATTTTTCCAAATCTACCTCCTGCTTCCCAAGTCAGTCAGCCCTCTTCCTCTTTGGAACTCACTTTCCAGATTAACACCAATGAAAAACTTGACCAGCATTCAAATTGCTGGTTAAATCTGTCATCTTCCAAAGCCTTATAGAAAGCATTTTCCCTTTTTTTTTTTGGCTTCTGGAACATTAACTACTACTTTGGTGACATGTATATGGTATTTAGTAAAGTTCTTTCTTTCCCAACAACACAATAAACAACATGAGAAACAGATTTAAATTTCATAGACTTGGTATGTCCCTCAAGGCTTAGCTAGCAATACTGCACTTTAGCCTGTATACTGTCTGAACAAGGAAACACTAATACATTGTTTCATAATACCATGCTTAGGAGTCCTGGTGTGGCACTGCGGGCTAATGCACCAGACTGCAAGGTCTGCCACTTGAACTGCAAGGTCAGCGGTTCAGGCTCACCAGCTGCTCCTCGGACACTCTATATAGGGTCACTATGGGTCAACGGAACTTAACAACAACAACAATCCTATACTTCCCCACTTTCCACAGAGACCCAGAGGCTAGGCCTCTGATTTCACCCAACGATCTTTACTCTCTTCCTAGCTGAAGTTCTTTTACCCCCAATATGAGGCTAGTCACCAAGCTCCAACAAATACCATAACCACACTGTTTCCCAGTCCCATCCCTTCCTTCACACCACAATACCTTGAGGATAAACTCAGGTTCCAAGGGGGCAAGTTCACAACAGATTTCAAGGAGGGAAGTCTGAAAGGAGTTATTTGCTTCTTTTATGGTTACATTTGACACCAGACTAGTACACAGCAAACTTATTAGAGCCATCTAGGAATTGGGAGGAGGGAAGACAGAAGGAAAGATGTAATAAAAACCAACTTTAGCACTAAGCAAGAGTTGCCCTCTATTACATGAGTTATGGGGAAGGGTCTTGTTCAGCACCCCTCCCACCGTCCCTGCCACCAACAACTTCTGACTCTGGAATTTTCACCTTCTTCTCTTGAAGGGCCTGATCAGTAGTCTCAGGATTAGATCTGGAGTCCCCAATGGTGAGCTTCAGGGTCAGCTCCTCCACCTCCTCCTCCTCCCCAAAGTTTAGATTATAAAAAGGCATCTGGGCCTCTTCTCCTTCAGTCTTTTCTAGCTTTTTTTCTTCTTCTGAAGAGGACCAGCGAGCCTAGGGATAGTGGTAGTTAGTAATCACAGCATGTACCCAAGGCTCCTCAAACACAGACAGATCTGAGGGCAGAATAGGAGCAGGAAGAAGAGTCCACACCTAACTCTTGCATCTAAAATCCTCCCCCATCATGCCCCAGTATTGATCAGTCCTGTCTCTGACTTAGTGCCCATTCACTGTCACATTCACCACCACTCAACCTGCTGAGCCTTGCCCAAATGCTTCATAATCCTCCTCCACCTTTTGTCTTCTTACAGATGCCAAGGCCCGGAAGCCTGCAGCCCCTCACATGCTTCCTGTGGGGCTAGTAAGATACTTTTGGAGTCAGAAGAAAAAGAGCCATATCCTATATCAATCTCACAGCAACCTTGGGCTGCTTAATGTTTCTGAGCCTCAGGTTCCTCATTCACTACCACCTACCTGATGGGGTCATTGGTAAACTAAATGGGATAACATATGTATGATTTGTTGCAAATTGCAAAGCCTTAAATAAATGTAAGAGAGCAGTAGTTGCAATCCTGACATGAACTCTGTGAAGTAAGTTCTCACTGACCTCATTTTCAAATTAAAGAAATTAAAAAAAATTAAAGAAATCAAGGCTATAAAAGGTTAAGAATCTTGTCCAAAATTGTACAGCTTATAACTAACAGACAATAGAGTTCAGAGTAGTTTGTTCCTTCAGTCTATACCACAAGTCAAAATAGAATGGATGTGTACCTGTCCACTGATTCTGAATGTGGTTCTGTAGATGTGACAATTGTGTTTGCATACGGACATGGAAGAAGTGGGTTCTCGCATAACAGATACATCTTATACCTAATAAAAGATTTCAAAAACACTTGATTGATTTTGCTACAGCAATATCATGCTGGTTCTCCTGAGTAAAGGCTCTCTGGCTTTGCTCTCTTCTCCAGAATCTCAGAACTAGTTAGGCCAAGAAAAGTAAAGGGCACCTCAGGACAGAGCTCTGAGGAGAGAAAATAACAGCAGAGAGCGAAATGCAGGCACTGAAATCAAGGGACAAGAGTCAATACAAGTGCCTGTAGCTATTACCAAAGCTGCTTCCTGAGCTCTCTTTGTGGCAGAGATAGACTGTACGGCCCTGGGGCAGGTTAGAAGGTCTTGTCCCTCAGAGAGGCACTGATTCCTCCAGGTTGGAGGCTCAGAGAACAGGTTACTGTTGGTGTTCAGGCTGCACAGATCAGCTTGTGCCAGGTGAGGTATCTGGAGATGCTGGAGCAAGGTGCTAGCAGACATGGCGCTCTTTAGACTAGGGAGGGTGGCCAGGCATCGGTTCTCCAAGGAAAGAATGTCTGAATTGGCAGACACACGTCCATGTGGTTTCTCCATGATTTTTACATCGGGAAGTGTGGCCAGGCACCGATTCTCCAAGGAGAGGATATCTGGGCGGGCAGACACATGCCCACGGAGCTTCTCCATGGTTGGAGTTCAACCAGCATATATCTAAGAGAAGAAAGGACAGGTGATTAATATCTAGGCACTGGGCATGTATGTGCACAATCTTTCCCGAAGCCCTCCAAATAATGCCATGAACTTCAGGCAAATAGCCACCAATACGTTTTTCTTTTCCCAGGATTGAGCTCATCTAGGGAGGATTCTAAGGGGAAAGGAAAAGTTGAGGGAAGGGAAAGGTTGAGAGGAGGGAAAAGGTGAAGATAGAAGTTTAAGAACAAGGGGGTAAAAGAGATCCCCAGCACAATTGGTTTGATTCCAATATAGTAGTGGGGTCAAGCTTAGAATCTGAATTTTGGATTCTCAGCTCTGGAGAAACAAACATTTTGATCAAATTGTTTATACTCACCACCTCAACTTCCATCTATCTGCTCACTTAAAACAATATTTTTATTATGAACTGGGTGAAGGTTTAGAGAGCTCACCCATTTTCTATTCAACAATTCATACGTATTTCATTTCATGTCACTGATTGCAATCCCCACAATGTAACAGCACTCATCCCACTTCCTCACTTGGGTAAATACCGTGCTTTTGGTCCAAATGGTTGATTATTCTAAGGAGTGCATACTTCCCTAGTGTTGTTGGTTGTTGTTGTTGTTGTTAAGCGCTGTCAAGTCGGTTCCGACTCACAGTGACCCTGTATAGGGTTTCCAAGGAGAAGCTGGTGGGTTTGAACCGCCAACCTTGTAGTTCGAAGTCCAGTGTCGATTCTACAGTGACACACCAGAAGTCCCTAGTGTTACTGTTTCCCTGATAAACCTGTCTATTGTTTGGCTGAAAATTGAGCCATGGGGGTGAGATCATTTCATAGTCTCGTGGGTACCACCGGTCTCTTTCTGACCAGAAAGTCTGGTCTTTTTTATGATTTTGAGTTTTGTTCCACAATTTTCTCTCATTGTATTTATGACCTTCATATGTGATCCTTTCAAAACAGTTGGCAGTGGTAGCCAGGCATCATCAAGTTCTGGTCTCTGGCTCTGGGAGGCTGAAGTTCATGTAGCCTATTATTCATTTGATTAATTCTTTCCACGTACCTTCAATTTTCTTCCCTTTTCTTTGCTCCCGGTGGGAACAGGCCAATAACTGCACCTTAGACGGTCGCTCATGAGCTTTTAGGACCACAGTCGATACTCATCAAAGTAGGAGGTAGAACATTGTTTTTATGGACTAAAATAAAACTCCCTGATGATAAGGGATCCTTTGTCATGTGCACCTCTGTATCTCCAGCATCACATACATGACCTGCTCTCTGATGACCTCCCAGCCCCATCTCTTACTGCTACTCCAACCTAAGTCTTCGCATTCTACACTTCAACTATACCAAACTCTTACCTTATAAAACAATAAAGTAGCTCTTGACTCTGGATGTGTGCACAGGCAGATGCTTAGAACACTCTTCCTTCTACTTACACTACACCATCCTCCAGTACCACCTATGCTATTGCGAAGTTTCATTGAGTCCGTTTCTATTAAAGTGACTCTATTTATAACAGAACTAGACACTCCCCAGTATTGCTCTAGTCTCACAATTGTTGCTGTATTTGAGCCCATTATTGCAGTCACTAGGAGCTCTGGTAGCGTAGTGGTTACGAATTGGGCTTCTAACCTCAAGGTCTGCAGTTCAAAACTACCAGCTGTTCCGTGGGAAAAAGATGAGGTTTTCTGCTCTCGTAAAGATTTACAGCCTTGCAAACCCTGTGCAGGGTCACTACAAGTCAGAACCAACTCCACGGTACTTAACAACAAAATATCAATTGATACCATTGAGGGTCTTCTACTTTGTCACTGATCCTGTACTTTACCCAGCATGATATCCTTCTCCAGGGGCTGATAGGTCCCTCCTGATAGGTCTACATAGGTCAAAGTCTCACCACCTTTGCTTCTAAGGAGCATTTTGGCTGTACTTCTTCCAAAACAGCTTTTTTTTTTTTTGCTCTTCAGGTAGTCCATGGTATATTCAATATTCTTCATGAATACCATAATTCACCATAAAGGCATCAATTCTTCTATCTTCCTTATTCATTGTCCAGCTTTTACATGTATATGAGGTAATTGAGAATGCCCATAGAGGCTTGGGTCAGGCACACCTTAGTATTCAAACAGACATACTTGCTTTTTAACTCTTAGAAGAGATCTTTTGCAGTAGATTTGCACACTGCAATAATAAGTCGTTTGATTTCCAGACTTCTGCTTCTATGCCCCACCTTTACCAGGCCAAATTCCACTTTACTCTCACTCTGCAGACCTCGCTTTAACAGCCAGTCCTCCAAGGAGCCTTGGTTGACACCCAAGCTGTAGTTTGATTAAAGTGGCCCTCTCTAAGTTCCCACAACACCTGTACTTCCATCATCAAAGGGCAAATAATATATATTATAATTGTCTCCTTATACTAGACTGTAAGCTCCTGAGGATGGAGACCCTCTTAGCCTTATTCACTATTGTTTCTACTATGCTTAGTCAGTGGGATTCAGAGACTTTTGAAAATATGTGTGAAGCAAAGAAGTCATTCATGCAGAAAAAAACATGACTATATGCTCTTTTCCCCTCAGTTTCAGAGTCTATGAAGCCAATCCATGGATCTCCTAGGACCTCCTAGGAAGACCTCCTGCAAATTAAGAACCTCTGCCTGAGAGAATGCTTGAAATTACCACTGATAATTGCAAGACAGCTAATTATTTATTCTGGCCCTTCTAGCCAAATATCTCTATGTTGCGATGTATTGTAAATCCTGCTCCTCGGAAACTCTACACAGGGGTCACTATGGGTTGGAACCAACTCGACAGCACTTAACAACAATACCTGTGTTTATGGACCCATTTTGAAACAAGCTGCTAAAGAGTAAAGATTAAGGTGAGGCTGAACCAAAATGTCAGTGGTTCAAATTCACCAGCTACTTTTCAGAAACCCTGAACAGGGTCACTATGAGTTGGAACCGACTCAACATCACTTAACAGCAACAACAACATGGTAAAATGGCGTGGTGCTGTAGAATAAGTACTGGACTGCTAACTACAAGGTTGGTAGTTCAAACCTACCAGTCACTCCTCAGAATCTCTATACAGGGTCTCTATGAGTCAGAACTGACTTGATGACACTTAGTAATGACAACAAGGAGTAAATATTACAGGATGACCCCATTTTACTAGAGTGTGTAACTTAGTCACCAACCTTAGTTTCCCATGGGCACATGGCCTGACCAATTTGTAAGATTGCTTTGGACAAATCTCTCTCTATGCCTTGGATCTTGCATCTGGCTCATTATATCTGACCTCCAGTTTGTGGAACTTTCAACCCATCACCTAACCTGCTTCAATAGCTCTAGCTACCTTGTGCATCAACAGCCTGTTGTCTGGCCTGCCGATTTGGGTTCCTCAACACCTGAGACTACATGAGTGAGAAGAATTCCTCCAGACTAATCTCTGAACTACAGATTTGGGACTTGCAAGCCTCCACGATCATGAGAGCCATTTCTTTTGAAAACTGTGAGTTTTGTGAGATGTTGCAGTGTGTTACAGAACCCTGGGACTTGAGGAAGGAAGGACCGGTGACTGATATAAAGGACTATAGAGTGATATAGCATGCTGGAAAAGTTGAACATTTGGAATACCATTAACCTCCAATTCATAGGAATTAGTCTTGTACTGATCTTTCTAAAATAAATTATTTATACAGTAATGTATTTATTTATTTATATGGTCAAAGGCTTTTTCTCTACTTATATGTATTTTAAGAATAACATTGATAGGTCAATCACTTAAACCTTAGTTTGAATGAGCTTAAGGTTAGGAATACAGAACACTTCCAAGAAGACTTGTATGAACTGACAATCCAGGACCAGAAAGGACTATGGAGATCTTAATGATGTCAGTATAGACAAATGACATCAAGAGTGGGTGTCACTATTAGCCTCTTCCAGTCCAGAGTAAAAAAGAGTGAAGAAAATCAAAGATGAAAGGAAAAAATCAGTTCAAAGTACTAATGGGCCATGTGATCTCCAACCTCCATGACTCTGAGGCAAGAAAAGCTAGAGGATGCTTCGCTACCACTGCTGACTACTCTGAAAGTGAAAGAAAAATGTGGAACAAAATTCCAAATCATTTTTAAAAAATGCCAGGCTTATTGGCCTGACAGAGACTGGGGGACCACCAAGACTACAGCCCTTATATATTCTTTTATTCTGGAACTGAATTCACTGCCCGCTCCCCTCCCCTCCCCATCTCCTTGGAACAATCAACTACATGAGATCAAAAGGGCAGCATTTGCCCAGTGATCCCTGGTGTTTGCATTACAAGTTTAAACACCCTGTAGGAAAGGAGTGCGGAGTCTCAGAATTGACTCAAGATTCAAAATAATGTGAAGGTTGAACAAAACGAACATAATTAATATCACTGAACTATCTACAGATTGTGGAAATGGCAGCTTTTCTGTTACCTAGATACCACAATTACTTATAGAGGGGGCTTCAGAAAGTATGTGGAAAACTCCATTCTTTACATTCCATTTTTCCATGAACTTTTTGAAGCTTCTTTATACATATAAAGCCAAGCCACCTGCTATCAAGTACGTTCTAACTCATAGCAACTCTGTATAGGGTTTCCAAGGTATAAATCTTTAAGCCTCATCTTTCTCCTGTGTTGCAGCTGATGGGTTTGAACTGCTGATCTTTTGGTTAGCAGTCCTGTGCTTATCCTACAGCACGATGAGGGCACTTTTGTTATATACAAGTTGTTCCTGTTGCTAAGTTCTGTCAAGTTGGTTCAACTCATGACTACTTTGTATAGGGTTTCTAAGGAGTGGCTGGTAGATTTGAACCATTAACCTTGAGGTTAGCAATCCAGTGTTTATCCTACGGAGTCACACCTTATATACAAGGGAACTACAAAAAGTTTCAAGTCCTCAAAACAAAAATTAAGTTAAAAGAAAATAGTTGCTTTTTCTGCACACTGCAGTTTGTGAAGAGTTTCAGATGAACACAAATGAAAAGTTCTTCCTTTCCCAGATCTCTAGTTCCATTCTCCAGAATTAGCCACTGTTAACTGTATTATACACAATTCAGACACCTTCTTCTATGCATATTTCTATGCATATTCAATTATATGTATTGCTGTTAAGTGCCTTCAAGTCCGTTGGATCTCATAGCATAAGCCCTTTTTTTGTTTTACATAAACAGAATCATATTTTACGTTCTATTCAGCACTTAAAGAGTCTTGCAGGCCGTGTCATCTAAGACACTCATACTCACCCCACTCTTTTAAGTATTTAAACACACCCTTTGTGATCACAGCATTCTTAGCACCAATTCTTTAGTGGTAGCTACTCCTCACATTTCGAGAAGCTTATAGGGAAGGAAGGTGGAAGGGTTCATTCTCACTTGGTCTCCTTTCCTCCTCTTCGAGTATCCCTCTGTCACCTGTCTTTTCCCTTTCCTTCATCCTCCCCCTCGCCATTCTCATCTCTCCTGTTTACTTTCTTTTTCGCACAACACACCCCTCCGGGGAAGTCCTCCCCCTCGCCACACCCTACCGGCTGAAAGGTCACGAGCCTGTTCCAGGGAGGCCCTTCAGAGCGGATTCAGTCTCCAAGTTCACCACCCTTGATCTCGGACCACGGCAAGTTTCTACCTGCGCTCCTACCCTCTTCCGAGAATTCCGGATTCTGGTGCGGGGCGCCTCGGTTCTCCGCAGCAGGCAGCAGTACCCAAGCTCGCTCTCCGCTTGGCTGGTGGGAACAGAGGAGGAGCCAGAAGGAGCGCTAGTAGGATTGCGCACTAGAGACGCTCCCTGGAAGGGCGAGGCGGAAGCTGAGCTGGAAGCGAGCAGGGACTAGGAGCTGCCGTTGTTTGAGTGACGTCCAGACTGGGCAGTACTTATGGCATAGAGGACTTCTGCAGTCTTTTATGTAGCCCGAGGTTTCTGTTGGTTTTATATTGTATTGAAAATATATGCTACAAAACATTCACCAATTCCTACGTATGTAATTCAGTGACATTTAATTACTTTCTTCAAGTTGTACAATCATTCTCACCATCCTTTTTCAAATGATTCTCCACTATTAACATAAACTCACTAGCCCAAAGCAACAACTCTTTTTCCTCTCCCTTCCACTTCTGATTTAAAAAACAAAACAAAAACAAAAAACACAACCTAACCCACAGGTGTAGCCCATTCGGACTCATATAGGACAGAATACAATTGTGTGTAAAGATTTTACAGCCCTTCTCAGGAGACACCAAGAGTCAACTGGCATAACATAATCCATAGAGACACTGTTCTACATCCTACTTTGGTGAGTAGCAACGGGGGTCTTAAAAGGTTATGTGAATGGCCATCTCAGGAGCAACTTCTGGTCTCTCCCCTGGAGCAAAGAAGACTGAAGAAGATCAGAGATACATGGAAACGATTAGTCTAATAAATGAATGGATTATGGGAACATCAGTATCCACAACCCTTAGACCACAAGAACTAGATGGTGCTTGACTACCACTATCAACTGCTCACAATAGGTAGGGAAAAATGTGGAACCAAATTCAAATGAATAAAAAAGGCTCACTGGTCAGGCAGAGACTGGTAGAACCACTAAAGACTTAGTCTGAACTTAAACCATAACTCCATTTTTAACTAAAGAATAGCTAGGTCTCTAAGGGGAATACACTAGACACGTATGGGACCCCTGAGAAAAACCATTTGAGACCAAAAGGGCAGCGTTTATCCAAGGACAAAGTTCAGAAGAATTAGAAAAGGAGGAGGAATGGAAACACAGGAAGGAAGTGGGATAAGTGATGCTGCATTGTGATTGCAAAGAACGACATGAAACAAAGTGTATAGGAATTATCGAATGGAAAACTGATCTGTTTTATAAACCTTCACCTAATTCACAATAAAAAATTTTGTCTTTTTTTTTCCAAAAAATTAGGACAAAAACACAACATACTGTGGTAGTTTATGGTTTTTTTTTTTTTCAACTTTACAGGGTCAAGACTCCCAGTGACTTGGCAGTTGAGATGCGCTTATCCCCATGGTGAGATCTAGTGGAGGCATAGTTAACTCTATGATGATTGGCTATGAGCAGTTGAGTCCATTGAAAAGATGTTTCCTTGGGGGTGTGGCCTGCTCCAAATCTAATGGACACACAGGAAAAACTTCCTCTCTTTTCTGCTGGATCTGGATATCTCACATCTGGGTTTTTCTCTAACCTCTGGTTCTTTGAAGTTCAGCTAGTGGTTTGCTCTACTGTTTGCCTGCTAATCTTAGTTCACTTGGCCAGAATTTGGGACCCCTGTCCACTAGTCTAACCTGAGAAACAAAAGACCAATATACAGAAAACTGGAAAACACTACTACAGGTAAAACAAGATAGCCTTCCCTGCCTAGAAGAATAAATAAACAAACTTTGGTACATACACACAACGGAATACTATGCAATGTTGAGGAATAATGATGAATCTGCAAAGCACCTCATAAGATGAGTGACCCTAGAGAACATTATGCTGAGTGAAATGAGTCAATCACAAAAGGACAAATATTGTATGAGATCATTATTGTAACAACTTAAGAAAAGGTTTTCATACATAAAGAAACATGCTTTGACATTAACTAGGGCTGGGAGGGAAGGAAGGGTGATTCACTGACTAGAGGGTAGACACATGCTAGCTCAGGTTATAGGGAGGGTGATGCACAAGAAAAAGGAGGGTGGTCGAAGAATGATGAGGATAGGTGAAGACACAGGGAGGTATGTATGCATGAGCTAAAGGGAATAGAGGTAAATAGTGATATTTACACAATCTTGGAACAACAGTGTTTTGTGCGTAGATACATGGATTGAGACATAGACTGAATAGATAAGGGAGGAAGAAAGGGATATATATATGTTTATGTAAGAATGTATTTGTACATGAGTATTTACCTTTCCTGCAAACACAACTGTGAATGTGGTGGAGCACATGGCGGGGTAAAATGATGAAAATTTCCTAGATATTATTAGATATCTTAAGCAATGAGTTGTTGGGCCTGAGGGCTTAGGACCGCAGTCTTTTGGGTACACCATGGTCAATGGCATAACATATTCCACAACGACAATGTTCTACATTCTACTTGGTGAGTATTGTCTGGGATCGTGCAAGCTCATGAGCAGCCATCTAAAGTACATGTGTGGAAGAAAGAAGACTGATAAAAATGCGAGGAGCTTGGGATCAAGTAGTGCAATGGACTAATGGGACATGTGAACGAACATCAATCTCCATGAATCTGAGGCCAGAAGAATGGGACAGTGTCCGGCTACCACTACCAGCTGCTCTGAAATGGATCATATTAGAGGGTCCCAGATAGAGTGGGAGAAAATGTGGAACAAAACTCAAAAATATTTTAAGAAAACAATAACAAAAAACTGTTTTACTGGTCAGAAAGAGATTGGAGGAATCTGAGCCTATGGCCCAATTTTTAGTCAAATAGAAAATAGGTCTTTTTTTTTTTTTTTTTTTTTTGAATACAGAGGATAAGGCTGAAAGATAAATTAAAGTCAGATGATGGAAGCAGTGAGTGAAAGTTTACAGGGCAGATCATCAGTTTTACATTCAACAAATCATATACCTTGTTTCATTACAATTATTATAATCCCCTCCATGTACCATTAGATAATAGTATTTCTCTCTATTCATTTTAGCTCTTTTTTTTTTTTTTAAACACTCAGGCATATATAATAATTCACACCACCAAAGGACACATTCTGCAAGTCTGTCTCCTGACTGCCAGCTCTTAGTCCCTCTCTTCTCATGAATCTAGAGTCCTCAGTTGCTCTCTCTCTCCATGTCCCCACCTCTGTCTCCATCTCTGGTGTCTTTGCTTCTCTGGATAAGATCTCACATTCTGCTTGTGCTTTTCTCCCTTGATGGTCCTAGGGTCCTTTGTTTCTGGACTGTAAGATTAACTACTCCTCCATTTTTGATACAAAACTTCTACCTTTACAATTGTGACAGTCGCAATTAGTCATGATAACTATTACTATTATTTCATAAGAATCTTATCCCCATCTTTATTAATCTAGACCCATCTAGACAAGATGAAAACTATTCAGTGGGGACTCTTTCTTCCCCCACAAACTCTTAAACTAGACTCCTTCTTGAAACCTTGTAAGCCAGTCACTTCGTGCTTTTATTGCCCCCTCATTTTAGGTAGCCAATATCTAAGTTGCCCATCCCTATCTACCCTGTGTACAGAAGGGATAGCGTTGATACTTGATGTGAAGACTCTGTCCCTCTTTGTTCTCTCTTTATTTAGAGTTACTATCTCCATGAGTATAGGTCAAGTTCATCAAATTGTAGCAATTTACCCTCGTTTCCTTTATTAAAAAAATTGTGGGTTTTTTTTATCCTCTAGTTGAGTTCTGATTATCAAGCCATCAAGGCTAGGTCAATGGGTACTATCTGCAAGTTTGGGTGTTCTTGTGCATCTCCCCCCACTTCATATCAGCTGGATGCTTCACTCTCGCCCTCTGTGGCTATGTCTTTGCACAGGTCTCACCACACTTTGGACCAATCAGCCCTTCCTCTTCTCTCTCTCATTTCCAGGTAAACAGGAGTTTATGGACCATGGTTAAAGTCAGTCCATTTCTTCACTGCTGCCTTTCCCCCTCTTCCACTCACCAGTAGGCCAATGTAGTCATTAGCAAGCTTACATGGCTGCGCATGTGTTCCCTTTGAGTTCAGTCTTAGGGGGGTGAGATAGGGGTTTTTTTGTTGTTGTTGTTCAGTGCTGTTGACTCAGTTCTGACTCATAGCGACCCTATATAGGGTTTCCAAGGAGTGGCTGGTGCGTTTGAACTGCTAACCTTTGGCAGTCCAGTCCTATAGTAGTACCACACCAGGACTCAGATAGATGTATAGAGTGGAAAAACAGCACTAGTAAAGAATACCCACCATAGAATGGCCAATCATTCAAAATCGAGTGGAAAGCAAATAGGAGCCAAAGGGAGAAAGTGGGATAAGTGTTGTTGCATGGAGGGGATTGCAAGCATGGAGATAAAACAGCGTATGATTTGTTGAATGTAAAACTGATTATCTTGTCTGTAAGCCTTCATTCAATTAACAATAAAAAATTAAAAAAAAAAAAACAACCATAGCCTTGGAAATCTTATGGGGGCAGTTCTACTCTACCCTATAGGGATGGTTGAGTTAGTATTATCTGGAGGACAGTAGGGATGGTTTTTTGTTTGGTATTGTACCTATATACTAGACCAGATCCCAACTTCCTTCCTTACTAAATGAAACCTCCCATCACCACCCAGACATCAGTCCCAACAATTCTTTGTATAACAATTATTTTATGTCTCCTTTTATTATCCTGAAATACAATTCATAATGCAAGTGAGGTCATTACAAGGTGTGGGGGCTGCTTTCTGCCCCCCCCCCACACACACACACACTGCCAGAAGGGGTAACATCCAGTGTCCATGGTAGTGGCAGTGGGGAGAGGGTGTAGGGGCCAAGGCAGTGGTATCACTAAGATTGTCACCTGTCACCCAGGGCAGTTACTGGTCACTACCACACCATCCCGGTAGCCCTCCAGTAAAGGTACAGGCAGGCAGATGTGGACGGTTGGCATTGGGCATTGCCTTGGCCAATGCTAGAGGGGAGGAGCTGTAGGGAACCCCGAGGGACTAGGACCGCTATTGGCTGAGGACTTCCGGGCTGGTGATATAAGCCAGCGTCAAGTGAACAGTGCACAAAGTGTGTCGACCTGACCCAGCAACCGCAGCTCGGTGGAGCGCAGCGCGGATCTGAGCGGAAAAGGGCAGGCTCATCGCGACGACGTCGAACTGGACCATGGGGAACGAGATGGGGAGCTCGTGAGTTGCGCACCAGGCCCATGGGACTTCGGAGGTCGCTGGGGAGTAGAAATGGTTGTCACTGAAACCTGGGATCCTGGCACACGGAGCCGGGTGTCAGGTGCAGGGCGACAAAACAGGGGGACAGCCTGCGCGGGCAAAGGGCGCATGCAGGGATCGAGCTGGAGTGGCGCCACAGGAGCAGGAAGGGGACTTGTTAGTGCAGTGTAATCTACTCTACAAAAGAACCGGTGCGTGAGTCACGGTGTTTGGAGAGGGTGTAAATTTAGAGGGAGACACACCCGCTGGGTCCACACTGCTCACACAGGGAAGAGAACTGCAGACCCCAACACGGTCTCCACAATGTGGAGTTTAGGCAAAGCCGTGACAAGATTTTGATGCTCAAGTCAGGAGTTTCCCCTTCTGAAAAAAGATTGGCCACCTTTCTCGCCAGCAATTCCTAACTCATTGAGCAACAGATCCCGCTCACTCCTCGCATAGCCACGCTGTATATATAGGGTTTCTGAGGAGCAGCTGGTGTTTTTGAATTCGCAGTTCAGTTCTGATCATACAGCGCCACACCAGGAGTGCCCCTGTCTCCCTACACCTCAGAAAACCGTTCTCTCTGCTTTGATTGATCCTGGAATCCCCAACCCAAGTCTATCACTAGATAGCATACTGACTTTTGGACGCTCAGGGTGCGCTTGGGCAACTAATGATGGCAGGTGTGTCCTTTGTGTGACTGGATTTACCAGGTGGCCACAGCTTCATACCTCTTTAATTTCCTCTTCCTTTCTTGGGAATGTGCTTTCACTGTGTGCCTCCTGACTACCCTCTCTTAATGCTTTCTTTCTCTCTAAATGCTTTCTCTCTTTTTTGTCGGTGGTGACTCCAGCTTTATTGCCCTGTCCCCAGCCTCCTTTCCCAGCTACTTCCTTGAAGATAGCCTGATACATAATAGAATGATATATAGCTTCCTGGACTATGATTTTGAAAACAGAAAGTGGTTTTTTTCCTGGAGATTTGACTAGTTGTGTTGACCCTTGTCATACCCAATTCCACCTTCTTTTTCCTCCCTTGGAATCATTGGTCTTCCCAGATGAGTGAAAAAAATTGAATTCAGAACTGTGAAGAAAGTTCTGGGTTCTGCTAGTGTATGTGCTTTGGTGAAGAAAAAATGGGAATGGGTCTGGATGCTGAAGAGTGACAGGGAGGAATCCACTGGTAGGGAAAAGCAAAAGACAGGTTCAAGGGCTGTGTGTGCCAGAGCCTTTTAGCAGAAATTTTATTAGCAAGTAATTTTAAAATTGAGACTTGAAGATTTTGTTGTTGTTAGGTGCATCAAATTGATTCGGACTCATAGTGACCCCAGGTACATCAGAACACAACATTGTCTGATACAGTGCCAGGCTTACAGTCTTTCTGATGTTTCAGTCCATTATTACAGTCACATGTCAATCCATTATGCTAAGGGTATTCCCCTTTTCACTGACCCTCTACTTTACTAAGCATGATGTCCTTCTCCAAGGACTAGACATTCCTGTTAATATGCTCAAAGTGCATGAGACAAAGTTTCACGATTCAGGATTCTAATGAACATTCAGGCTGTACTTCTTCCAAGATAGACTCCTTCATTCTTTCGGCAGTCCATAGTATGTTCACTATTCTTCACCAAAATCATATTTCAAATGCATAAATTCTTCTCCAGTCTTCTTTATTCACTGTCTGGATTTCATTTGCAAATGAGATGATTGAAAATATTATGGCTTGGGTTTTAAGGTGACATCTTTGCTTTTTAACACTCTAAAGGGATCTTTTGCAGTAGATCTCCCCATTACTTTACATCATTTGATTTCTTGACTGCTGCTTTCATGGGTTTGATTGTGGATTCAAGCAAAATGAAATCCTTGAAAAGTTTAAACTTTCCTCCGTTTATGATAATGCTGTTTATTGGTTCATTTGTGAGAATTTTTGTTTTCTTTATGTTGAGATGTAATTCATACTGAATATGATTTTCCTTAGTAACTGCCTCAACTCCTCTTCACTTTCAGCAAGTTTGTGTCATCTGCATATCATCGGTTGTTAATAAGCCTTCCTCCAATCTTTGTACTTTTTCCTGTAGTCCAGCTTTTAAGATGATTTGCTTAGAATGCAGACTGAGTACGGTTAAAGGATACAACCCTGACTCACACCACTTCTGATTTTAAATTATTCAGTATCCCCTTGTTCTAATTGAATGTCTGTATCTTAGTATATTCAGGTTCCACATGAGCATAATTAAATGTTTTGAAATTCCCATTCTTTGAAATATTAGCCATAATTTGTTATGATTCACACCATTGAATGCCTTTACCTAGTTATAAAAACACAAGTAAACATCTTTCTGGTTTTCACTGCATTCAGTCAAGATCCATCTGATGTCCAATGAAATCCACATCCTCTCTGAATCAGGCTTGAATTTTTGTCAGCTCCCTGTCAGATGTATGACTGCAACAATTTTCCATTTGGTTACCTTTCTTGGGACTGGTCACAAATATGGATCTCTTCCAATCAGTTGGTCAGCTGGCTGTCTTCCAACTTTCTTGGCATAGACTACTGAGTACTTCCAGCACTGTGCTAAAACATTTCAGCTGGTTAACTCCTAGAGCCTGGTTTTTTTATTGCCAATGCCTTCAATGCCAGTTGACTTCTGCCTTCAATATCATCAATGCTTGATCATATACTCCCTTCTGCAATGGTGTATATTGTTGTTGTTGTTGTTAGGTTCCATCAAGGTGGTACCAACTCATAGCAACCCTATGCACAACAGAAAAAAACATTGCCTGATCCTGGGCCAACCTCACAATTGTTGCCACACTTGAGCCCATTGATGCTGCCACTTTGCCAGTCCATCTCACTGGAGGTCTTCCTCTTTTTCTCTGACCCTCCACATTACCAAACATGATATCCTTCTCCAGCAATTGGTCCCTCCTGACAATATGTCTGAAGTTTGAGAGACGAAGTTTGGCCATCCTGGCCTCTAAGGAGCACTCTGGCTGCACTTCTTCCAACACAGATCTGTTGGTTCTTTTGACAACCCATGGTACTTTCAATATTCTCCACCAACCCCATAACTCAAATGCATCAATTCTTCTACAGTCTTCTTTATTCACTGTCCAGCTTTCACATGCATATGAGGTTATTGAAAATACCATGGCTTGGGTCAGGAGCACCTCAGTCCTCAAGCTGACATCTTTGCTCTTCAACACTTTAAAAAGGTCTTGTGCAGCAGGTTTGCCTAAGGCAATACGTCCTTTGATTTCTTTACTGCTGCTTCCATGAATGTTGATGGTTGATCCAAGAAGAATGAAGTCTTTGACAACTTCAATCTTTTTTCCATTGATAAGACTGTTGTTTATTGATCCAGTGGTCAGGATTTTTGTTTTCTTTACATTGAGATGCAATCCAGACGAAGGCTGTGGTCTTTGATCTTCATCAGTAAGTATTTTAGGTCCTCTTCACTTTAACACGCTCAAAGTACCTGTAGCATAGCTTCCAAAATCATAGAAACTCACAAGCCACCACAGTACGACAAACGGGCAGGTGAGTGGTGGAAATGGTGTATATACTCAACCTACATTTGCATATGAACAATTGATGGGTTGTTCCACAGTCGGCTGATGGCCTTGTTTTGGCTGATGATATTGAACTTCTCTATTCTTTTCCAACTAAGAGATATCAAAAGTAAACTTTCCAAAATCAAAGACAAGGAAAGAATCTTGAGAGCAACTTGAGAAATACAAAAAGTTATCTACAAAGGAGAACCAATAAGGCTAAGCTCTGATTTATCAACAGAAACCATGCAGGCAAGATGATAATGGGATGACATATACAAATTTCTAAAAGAAAAAGATTGCCAACTAAGAATCATATACCCAGCAAAGCTGTCCCTCAAATATGATGGCAAAATTAGTACATTTCCTAATAAACAGATATTAAAGGAATTTGTAATGAACAGACCAACTTTACAAAAAATGCTAAAGAGTTTTCTTTGGACTGAATACTAACAACAGCAGACAACAACCTGAGATTAATATACATGACAACATCACTCAGAACTCAATGCAGATATAGAAGTATTTAAAATAAAACAAACCTGCAAGACTGAAAATAGGAAACCAGAGATATCAATGTATAATAAAGTCAACTACAAAGCAAAAAGAGGGAATACTGTAGATACAGAACTTTCAATGGCAAGGAAGTCAATAGATTTCAAGATAAAACAAACTGTTTTAAGCAGATAAAATTTAATAAATTACAAGATAACCTCAAAGAAAAATAATACAGCTGTACATTAAAATTTAAAAAAAAAAAAGAAACTCAGAAAGGTGTAGTAAACATCAACACAACCAAAATTAAAATGAAAAGAAAACCCACAAACAAAATGATCTCAGCAGAGAAAATTATGTGGAACAAAGAGTCTAGCAGCGCCACACACACACACACAAAACCCAGAAACAAATGACAGTAATCAATGCATACTTATTGATAATTACACTGAATATAAATGGGTTAAATGTACCAAACAGGCGACATAGAGAGCAGAATGAATAAAAAGAACAGATCCTTCAATATGCTGTCTACAAGGGACATCAAAAAGATGGAGGCAGCCTAAATGCCCATCAACAAAAGAATCGTTAAACAAACTTGGATACCTACACACAGTGGTGTACTACAAAATGTTGAAGAATATTGATGAATCTGAGAAAATCTCACATGGGTGAACCCAGACGACATTAAGCTGAGTGAAATTAGTCAATCACAAAAGGACAAATATTGTATGAGACCAATGTTATAAATACTTTTAAAAAAGGTTTTCTTGATGAAAGAACCAATATATGATAGCTGGGTGGGGTCGGGGGAATTATTCTCATGGTAACATGGGGGACAGGCAGTATACAACAAGCAGGAAGTTAACAGAGGAAAAATAAAGATATCTTTATCACAGATGAAAATTATATCACCCTGAACTTCAGAATAAAGGTTAGAGAGATGGATGGACTGCTTACTGGGAGGAGAGGCCGAGCAGGCATGGCAAGAGAGGGAAACTGACTGGCAAACAGCTGGCCAGACGTGCTTCAACCATCTTGTAAGGAGTTTTGGCAGCAGAGGGAGGCCTGCAGGAGATTTGCATGAACGGAAGTTGGAAATATTCTTTTTGACAATGAACGTGACACCATGCCTCTTGAATATTATCCCCAGTATAATAAACCATATGATTGTCTGATTCAAAATGATCAATACCTGTCCATTTTTGTCCACTTTGCTGTTGTTGTTAGGTACTGTTGCGTTGGTTCCAACTCATAGTGACCCTATGTACAACAGAACGAAACAGCAACAACATAGTTGTTGCTATGCTTGAGCCCATTGCTGCTTCTACTGTGTCAATCCATCTTGTTGGGGGTATAACTCTTTTTTGCTGTCCTCCACTTTACCAAGCATGATATCCTTCTCCAGGGACTGATCCCTCCTGATACTATATCCAAAGTATGCAAAATGAAATCTGGCCATCTTGGCTTGTAAGGATCACTCAGGTTGTACTTCTTCCAACACAGATTTGTTTGTTCTTCTGGCAGTCCATGGTACCTTTAATATTCTTCTCCAGCACCATAACTCAAATGCATCAATTCTTCTATGGTTTTCCGTATTCATTGTCCAACTTACACATGCCTATGAGGCTATTAACAATAACATGTCTTGGATCAGATGCACTTTAGTCTTCAAACTGACATCTCTGCTCTTGAATATTTTAAGGAGGTCATGTGCAGCAGATTTGCTTAATGCAATATATATTATTTGATTTCTTGACTGCTGCTTCCATGTGTGTTGATGGTGGATCCTAATGCCTAGGATATCAAACTTCATGTGTTCCATTTTATTTTTGACATCTTCCAATTTTCCTGGGTTCTTATTTTGTGAAGTGAGCCCAAAATCTGTGTTTTCAACAAATGTCTGCTGAGAAACATATATGGTCAACCCTACTCCAGCCTTAGACAAATTGTGCCTGATGTTTTGCATGCAGTAGCTTATCTCATCTATGGTCTGAATTACCCCCTTGCAATTTCATGGGGTGGAGGTATATGTGGGCCCGGAGATCCCAGAAATAAGGATTCAGTGAAACAAGGCATGGCACATAGACTTCTACTATGTCTTAGTATTTGACTGAGGAGGATGTGGAGGGTGAGGGTTCCAAAGGCTACTGAGTTTGTTTCAGTACTTGAGGTTAGTGTTCTTAAGTGCTGTCAAGTAGGTTTTAACTCATAGCAACTCTATGTAGCGTTTCCAAGGAGCAGCTGGTGGGTTTGAACCACTAACCTGTGGTTAGCAGCCAGTACACTCAAGGTTGTTGTTGTTGTTAAGTACCGTCGAGTCGGTTTCGACCCATAGCGACCCTGAACTGGGTTTCCAAGGCTGTAAATCTTTACGGGAGCAGATCGCCTCATCTTTCTCCTGTGGAGCAGCTGGTAGTTTCGAACTGCTGACCTTGCGGTTCACAGCCTGATTTGTAACCACTACGCTACCAGGGCTCCTCTCAAAGTAGATACTCTTAATTATACCCTGGGAGGGGGATAAGGAGGATACTGAGGAGGATTGAATTGAGTTTGTCCTTGCCCTAAATGAGGTCTTAATCCCATTTCAAGTGTTCCCCCTAGCCTTCCTCCTTAGGTTCAGCCCCTTCACTACTCGTTTTGATTATTTCACTACACTTCTCTGTAGGGAGGAAGACCATGCAGTCTTCCTCCTCCACCTTAGTTTGGATATTGAACAAGCCAATTATAGCAACATTGAAATTTAGACTACTAGTAGAAACAGACTTCATAAACTTTTGCCTGGCTTTGGAATGGAGTTGATTTTATGTCAGATGTAGGTCTGATTCAGGGAAAGGTGGGAAGAAGGGTGAGCATAGTGAAGTCTCTAGTAAAGGAAAGGATCCTCCTCTCTGGAGCAGCTCTGTGACTAATTTTGCAGTACCCTGCTGCCTCATATTCTTGTCGCCCTTCTGTACTGACACTCATCAGCCATTGCTCTATGATGTACTTGGGACTGGAATGGAACTCACTTTGATTTTTCTTTTTTTCTAGATTAGAATATGAAGAATACAAGAATACAGCAGAATGGCTTCTGTCCCACACTAAGCACCGACCTCAAGTGGCAGTGATCTGTGGCTCTGGGTTAGGAGATCTAGCTAACAAAGTAACGCAGGCCCAGATCTTTGACTACAGTGATATACCCAACTTTCCCCCAAGTACAGGTATTGGCAGTGGGAATAAGAGAATGGGACTGAGGGATATTGTTGGGATTCTGTAGAACCCAACCTATGAAGACCAATGTTTCTAAGCCTAGACTTCTAGAGGAAAATAGTCCACCATAAGTCAGAATGACTTTAGAAAAAAATTGTTATTGTTGTTGTTGTTGTTATGTGCCGTGGAGTCCGACTCATAGCGACCCTGTATAGGGTTTCCAAGGCTGTAAATCTTTACGGGAGCAGAACGCCTCATCCTTCTCCCGTGGAGCAGCTGAAAGAAATTAGCCTAGCAGAAATTCCTTGGTATGTCAGTGGGACTACATGATGACATTTCTACCTATCCTTATCTGCTCAAAGCTCCTTAAAACTCTTCAAAAATCCTCATCTCCCCTTATATACCATCATTACCACACACACAAACTCTCATATTATCTCCAGACTACAGTTTATGGTGAAAGCAGTGTCTGAAAACTCCCAGGTCACCATCAGGCCTCCTATTTGATATCTTCCTGCCATTTGCCATACCCCCACTTATATCTACAATCCTAGTACAAGGCTCTGGTACCCATCAACAAATGAACATACAGGCTGCCATGTTCTTGCTGAGACATACACAGATAATGCATAAATTCACAAACTCTTATTCAGATTGACCTTTTGGAAAGGGAAATGAGTAAGCTGTCTTCTCTATAATAGAGAATACTATAAATAGGAGACTATTTCTACTGTGGCATCTGAGAACACCGTTACGTCTATTTCCTAGTAGCATCCAGAAAGCTCTGAGGCCAAACTTAGAAAAGGGCAGAAAAAATAGTATAAAGCTAAACACAAGTATAGTTAATTTGGTTACTTATTAAGTTTTCAGATAACTAACTGATCCTGGTTTATATGCTAACTGTTGTCATTTTTATCTCCCTTTCTCATTTCTATAAAAAGTCAAGACTTTTACAAACTATGTGTAAACCTTTGGAATAAGACTGGGAGAACAGAACAGGGAGGTGGCAACGGGAATCGAATATCAATCTGTCAGCTTCCTAGAAGCATCTAGAAAATTCTGAGGCCAAACTTAGAAAAGGACCAGGTAAAATAGTAAAAAGCAAAGGACAAAGGCAGTTAATTTGGTTTACTTATTAATTTTTCAGATAACTAACTGCACCTAGTTTATATATTAAATGTTCTTGCTTCTTATCGCCCTTCCTCTTTGCCAAGATGTGTTTACACCTTTGAGGTAAGACTGGGAGAGCAGAACAGGGAGGTAGCAATGGGGATCGGGGAAGAAAACTTTTAAATAGAGACAAACAGAGAGAGACAGGACTTAGTCTCTAGAAGATATGGTAATGGTATTGACACCATCGGGCACTCCTACCCCCAGTGAGACATGCCCTAAACTAAGTGATAATTGGACTGGTTTTTTTTTAATTATTATTGATCTATTTTGTATACTTCACTTGGGTTTTCCTCCCTGTGTCAGCGTCATCTTTGCTTTCTTACGTTTTTTCCCCTCTCTCAAATAGGATTCTGTATCTCTCAATTCTCTCTCCCAGACCTTTCATTTCTAAAGGGGTAGATTCGACAAACCCATTACAGGACACTGCCAGAGAATGTGAATAGTAATAATGGTGCTTATGTTTGTATGAGTGTAATGGTTAGGGTTTTGTGTCAACTTGACTAGACCAGGATTCCCAGAGATTTAGCAGTTGGGATGTGCTTATTCTCATGGTGATGAAACCTAATAACAGGCAGAGTTAACTCTATGATGAGTGGCTATGAGTAGCCAATCAACTGAAGGAATGCTTCCTTGGGGGTGTACCTGCTCCCAATATAATGGACACATGAAAGGGACTTTCTCCATCTCTATCTCTTCTGCTGAGAACCTGGCACTCTGCAATTGTAAGCCATTTCCTTGATAACAAATTTCTTTATATATATAT